GGTGTACACCATCCTTGCTGTGTACACGTAGACAGTGACGTGTACGCATGTGTACAACACGGTCCAGTAGCCGCGTACAGCACCGACACGGTACATTGTGACGTCGTCGTGGCGTCATCCCACATCCATAGGGCCCATGACATAAGAAATCATTGACCTAGATACCGCAGTAGCGACATTGAAATCTGTGGCACACTTCACTGCCGTAATACCACAACACGGGTAGGGTTCATTGAGCCTCACTGAAGCGTAGCCACACGGCTTGCACGTATAATATCACAATGCCAGACATCAGCGGTTACTAAAGATAGACCGACTAGCAGAGGTCGAGCTTATTATCACCATTGTGATGGCATTCGCCACTAGGCGTGGGAATTTTAATGGGGCAAGGGAGAGACGTCAACAGGTTGGTGATTTATTTGATGGCGTTTATTGTTTGTGAGACTTCATGTCGTGAATCCTTATGTCGCGAACCCTTATGTCGCGAACCCTTTTGCCGCGAATTTGATTTGATATTTATTATCTTGTTTTCAAATCGCTCCAACTTTTTATTCTCTTGAACGTTGCGTGTAAATATTCTAACCGAAATTCCGTTAACTCTTAGTTGCCTTTTCCTAACACGATTATGTTGGACAGTCCCAGAGTTTCTTCCAGGCATCTCTTCGCCCCCCCCCCCCCCCCGAACGAAATGAAATTTATATAGAAAATATATACTTACTTTTAACTGTGTCCGCCCCCCCCCCCCCGAAGAATGTCTACCCTTCCCTCCCCCCCCCCCCGAAAATTATTTCAAGTGACCCCCCCCCCCCCGGAGAGAAAAAAGTCTGGAAGAACACTGATCCCTCCACTGTTAAATTATACGCCTATGCATAAAATGTATGCTATTTTTGCTAGTTTTCATTTACTTCTATCCCTAGAAGTTTAAACTGTTTAAAAAAATCAATTGACTTTATGGTTCAAAAGGAAAAGCAGGCTGAAATCGGAGACAATGACCTCAATGGCGCATAACCAGTTGACACGTATATTTAATTGTGTTGAAGGGGATCCCTCCTACACTAAAATTAAGAACGAAGAAGAAGAAGAAAAAGGTTAAAAAAATGTCTCCAAGATCCACGTACGGCTCTGCCTCCATCTTACCCGCACCCTTTCAGGTCGTCTAGATCTAATTGCTGATTGATTTCACTGCTGGTGAAACACGCGCTGGCCCTTGGCTCTTCATTATGACGCATTTGACAAGGGACGCAATCAATAACTCGCCCCTGCTTATCTCCCCTCCACCGCCATCGCGTATGTGATGTAACGTTTGCAATCAAGCGTGAAGCGTCGTCAGTGAAGAAATGGTGTCACTGTGGTGTGACACAGTGACATGTCAATGTAATTCTCTGTCAGGTTTGTCAGTGGTAAATCTAAATAAAAATTATATTACAAATATAAGTTAAATAAAAACAGTAGTAGTCACTGTACTGCTAGGGATTGTGGAAATGCAGGAAATGTTTGATCTCATTCATAGTCGCATGCTTGAATAAGTTCGCTGGCCTAATTTTTAAAAGCTAATCCCTAGATTAAATCTACACCTCGCCCGACGGGCCAAAAGCTGTTCATTTAAATAAAATATTTAGTTGTAGAAATGGGGCCGTCGGGAATATATTCCCCTTGAGATGGTTTTTTTATATTAAATTAAATTACCGTAATATTGCTTCGACTTTCCCGTACTACATCTCAGGGTCAGATTTAGGACTAGTTCCGATGTTATTGTTAGTTCTGTGATAAAATAGCGGAGTTCAAGTACCAATCCCCGTGTGTTGACAAACAACATATCAAGGTGTTTTACTAGTAAGACACTCAACCACATACACATGTAGCCGTGTGTTGACAAACAACATATCAAGGTGTGTTACTAGTAAGACAACCACATACACATTGAGCCGTGTGTTGACAAACAACATATCAAGGTGTTTTACTAGCAAGACACTCAACCACATACACATTGAGCCGTGTGTTGACAAACAACATATCAAGGTGTGTTACTAGTAAGACACTCAACCACATGCACATGGAGCCGTGTGTTGACAAACAACATATCAAGATGTTTTACAAGTAAGACACTCAACCACATACACATGGAGCTGTGTGTTGACAAACAACATATCAAGGTGTTTTACTAGTAAGACATTCAACCACATACACATGGAGCCGTGTGTTGACAAACAACATATCAAGGTGTGTTACTAGTAAGACATTCAACCACATACACATGGAGCCGTGTGTTGACAAACAACATATCAAGGTGTTTTACTAGTAAGACATTCAACCACATACACATGGAGCCGTGTTTTGACAAACAACATATCAAGGTGTTTTACTAGTAAGACAACCACATACACATGGAGCCGTGTGTTGACAAACAACATATCAAGGTGTTTTACTAGTAAGACACCCAACCACATACACATGGAGCCGTGTGCTCTGGAAACGTGTACAAACAAATCTGCAGCAGTTAAGTCGCATACATGTACACAGCTACAAATGAAAACAAAGGTGTACATTTAAACAAAGCTGTACATGTACATAAAATTACATTTATGATCCTAGCAACAAAAATGCCCATGTTTTTGCCTACTACTTCTAAGACATTGGGTCGACGCACCTCGCTAGTTTGTTGACACCTCACCCCCCCCCCCCCTCCCCCTCTAGCTAATAACTCACACAAGACTTTCTGAGAGGGAACAGAGCGGCAAGATTGGTCAAGTGAATAGAGAAGCTAACAGAAGTCTAACGATGATATGACTCGATTAAGCTGTGTAGTTGAGCGAGGGATGTACAAGCACGTGATAACTTGTTGGATTTTTTCAGCGAGGCTTTTGCTATCTTTAGATAGGGTCCTAACGTTGTTTTTGTTGTTGTTTTTATTCACCCAGTCTTAATATTATTTCAACACAGCCGTATCGTTAAAAAAAAAGACAGTAGTCAGCATCGGCAAAGAAAACTATTGAGGTTAGGGGAAACTTTTCACAAGTCAACAATTTAGTATTTAAAATCGCTTACTGTTTTCTTTTTTTAAACGAGAGTCAAACGATTTTTCTAAAAGTAGATATATATCTATAGTGTAAAAAATTATATTAGCTTTTAAATAGTCATACCAAGTGAAATAATACACAGCACAATAATTTTTATCCAGTTAATATGTAATGTTTCTAAAATTGTAACGAGTTTTTGGGAGGTTATATCCCTTGACGAATTTGATTATAATAAATTATATATATGGGAAGTAACAAATACTATTAAAAATTCAATGTAATACACTTAACATTATTATTAATTAATGAACATCACACAATTATATATCATTGCCACAGGGATCGTCCTTACCTCAGGTATCGTCCTTACCTCAGGGGTCGTCCTTACCTCAGGTATCGTCCTTACCACAGGGGTCGTCCTTACCACAGGGGTCGTCCCTACCACAGGGATCGTCCTTACCACAGGGGTCGTCCTTACCACAGGGATCGTCCTTACCACAGGGGTCGTCCTTACCACAGGGGTCGTCCTTACCACAGGGGTCGTCCTTACCACAGGGGTCGGCTTAATTACAGGGGTCGTGTTCATCACAGAGTCGTTCTTGCTACATCGATCGCTTTACCACTGGGATCGACTTTATCACAGGGATCGTCTTTACTACAGGGATCGACTTTATCACAGCGGTCGTCTTTACTACAGGGATCGACTTTATCACCTTTATCACAGGGGTCGTCTTTACCACAGGGGTCGGTAGGGAGGTAGACACAGAGATGTTTGCGGGACCGCTGAGGTAAACCTGTGTTAAGTGTCGTGACAGGGGCGTGCCAAGGGTTTGTTTGGGCTGATCTGACGAGACCTAACGAGATCAAGGACTTGCATTGACCAATCAGAACCGTGTACCACCTGGAGGTGATTGTACATAGACGTGTGAGGGGGGGGGGGGGTATTGAGAACTTAACTATTGATTCCTATCAAATTACTCGCTGGTTTGTGGGCTGAACCGTTGTATTGTGGTTTGTGTTGTGTGTGTGTGACCTCTATAACAAGTGTATGTCAGGTACATGGTAAGGACGATTTTAATGCCTAGCACCTGGTTTTTGACCAGCTGGAGAGTCGTTGCTTTGTGTTGCTAGTGGACAACATTGCTGGTATACAAAGGGCATAACTTCATTTAAAAAAAAAACATGAAATCTCAGCTTTTTTAAATGAGCTGAATGTTAATTGAATAAATGATTTGAACATTAAATGTCAGCTGTGACTGATCATTATCTATCTTCTAACTGATTACTGCCCCCCCCCCCCACCCCCACACACACAACTCAACATCTAACTGGGCATAGTCCTACATCTAACCAACCTTTGTCCTACATCTAACTGACCTTTGTCCTATAACTGACTTTGTCGTACATCTGACTGTCCTTTGTCCTATATCTAACTGACCTTTGCCCTACATCTAACTGACCATTGTCCTACATTTAACTGACAATTTTCCTACATCTAACTGACCATTGTCCTACATATAACTGACCTTTGTCCTACATCTAACTGACCTTTGTGCTACATCTAACTGACCTTTGTCCTACATCTAACTGACCTTTGTGCTACATATAACTGACCTTTGTGCTACATCTAACTGACCTTTGTGCTACATCTTACTGACCCTTGTCCTACACCTAACTGACCATTGTCCTACATCTAACTGACCATTATCCTCCCTAGAACTGACCATGTAACTGACCATGTAACTGACCATGTAACTGACCATGTAACTGACCATGTAACTGACCATATAACTGACCATGTAACTGACCATATAACTGACCATGTAACTGACCATGTAACTGACCATGTAACTGACCATGTAACTGACCATATAACTGACCATGTAACTGACCATGTAACTGACCATCTAACTGACCATGTAACTGACCATCTAACAGACCATCTAACTGACCATGTAACTGACCATGTTCCTACCTCCACAGCCACACCAGACAAGTGACCACATTCAACCACCCCGTCTACGGCTACCCCCAGCCCCCTGATGTGGCAGCCTCCTCCATAGCAGTCGTGTAAATAGAAACATTTCTTCTTTTATTGTCTGCTGCTTTGTGTCTTCTCTGCTTAGTTTGTAAGGCTCTGTCGTGTGCATGACATGTCGCTGACAGACAGGGTTCTTTACTGTCATTTACTGTCATTGCATGTCACTGCCAAAAGGTTATATACACTACTATATGCATGTCATGACAGTGATAAAAGGTCATATGCATGTCATTAAAAGCAGGTTATACACTGCAGTGTGCATGTCCCTGACAGCAGGCAAACTGATTGATGTTATAAAACAAGTGTAAAAAAATTAACTATAATCCATCTACGCCTGTTGTAGCAAAGAGATGGTCAGATTTTGAAAAAAAAAAAATTAAAATGCATATCAATTTTTTTATATATCTGACATGAAAAATGGAAAAGTTTAAAAATTGGAATTTAAGTTCTATTTTATTTAAGTTAAGAATTGTACACAATCATTGAAAAGAATTTTAAAAAGATAGCTAATTCATTATTAATTTTGTTGTTGTCTCCCTTTGTTGTGGTAGATAGCTCAGTTAAGCTGTGTAGAGTTGCATGTTCCATGTGTCTTTGTATGCTTGTCTATTTATGCATTATTTCAGTATTTTTTTCCTAAACATCATCTCAAATGCTATTTTAAAAATTGTATCAGTGGGGACTAAGTGAAGCAATGACCAATTATTTGACTAATACTAATTCGCATATTACTGGCCTGGGCATATAATTATTAAATCGAAGAATATAATTTAACTTAAAATGAGAAAATACTTCACATAATTAATAAAAAAAACATTGCTGATTACTTTTCCCCTGTAATTATTAAATTTCTTAATTTCTTGCTTATTTCAAGCAAGAAATTTTTTATATAGATTGAAAATGGCCAACTATTCATTTCTTTTCTGTTATCAAATTGCTTTTTATTTTTGAGGCTCCTTATACAATCTTTTATATTTTGCTTTGTGAATGATGAAAATCATGTTAGTTTTTTTTTTAATAAAAAAAAATGTATGTGGATGGAATGGCGCGGGAGTGGTTTGGCTGTGGGCTTCCTGAGTTGGAGAAGACTAACCAGTTGGTCTAAATGTTGGACTTGTTAGATTTCCCCCAATGTTACATTTAAGTAGGAAGAAGGAGATTAAAGTTGCTTCATCTCTCAACACCTGCTTGAGCTCTTGTTATACAGGACTGGTTGCTCTATTGGGTAGAGTTCTTCTTCATGTGGCCGCTTTGATATACATAGGCCATGTGAGGTTTACACATGATATTGGCCATGTTAGGTTAGCACATCATATAGGCCATGTGATGTTAGCACATCATATAGGCCATGTGAGGTTAACACATGATTTGTGGGTCCTATGCTGCCACACAACTCATGCATCTCCAACATCCTTAGTTGTCCCCCCCAGTTGTAATACCCTAGGACTATGTTCCCCAAGCCCCCCAGTTGTAATACCCTAGGACTATGTTCCCCAAACCCCAACGTTGTAATACCCTAGGACTACGTTACTTTCAGTTCCCCAAGCCCCACCATTGTAATACCCTAGGACAACATTACTTTTAGTTCCCCAAGCCCCCAGTTGTAATACCCTAGGACAACATTACTTTCAGTTCCCCAAGCCCCATCTTTGTAATACCCTAGGACAACATTACTTTCAGTTCCCCAAGCCCCCCAGTTGTAATACCCTAGGACAACATTACTTTCAGTTCCCCAAGCCCCTCAGTTGTAATACCCTAGGACAACATTACTTTCAGTTCCCCAAGCCCCTCAGTTGTAATACCCTAGGACAACATTACTTTCAGTTCCCCAAGCCCCTCAGTTGTAATACCCTAGGACAACATTACTTTCAGTTCCCCAAGCCCCTCAGTTGTAATACCCTAGGACAACATTACTTTCAGTTCCCCAAGCCCCTCAGTTGTAATACCCTAGGACAACATTACTTTCAGTTCCCCAAGCCCCTCAGTTGTAATACCCTAGGACAACATTACTTTCAGTTCCCCAAGCCCCTCACTTGTAATACCCTAGGACAACATTACTTTCAGTTCCCCAAGCCCCTCAGTTGTAATACCCTAGGACAACATTACTTTCAGTTCCCCAAGCCCCTCCAGCCCCACTAGTCCAGGCTCTTATCAACAGGAACATTTTAAACGTGGAACGGTCAAGCAAAGGTAGGAAATGTTCCGTTCTCCCAACATTTTCTTCCTTTTTTTTTTAAAAGATTAGATTTAGAGTAACATAGTTTTAGTTTTTCTTCAATTATTTTATTTGGGTTGCTTTGTTTACGATATATCACACTTTTTAAACATTCGATTAAGTTCTTTTAGAATTCTTAAAACATTTCAATTAAGTTTTCACAACTAACTACTAAAATTAACTAAAAGCTGTCTTAATTTTTCTTGAATTGATTAGATATTCAGATCATACTGGTTTAAAAATTATGTTGTTTTAAAAATATTAATTTCTGTCAAAATTAAATTTTCTGCAGTTGCATGTTTTAATTTCACCATCGGTAGCTAAAAATATAATGTTGTGAATGGGGAGGTTTTTTTTCTTTTGGTTTTATTTGGTACTTCAATAAATTATGTTCTGATTTTTATAATTTTTTCCACGTAAAGATATTAACAAAATATTTCTGGTACTTGACTACATGAAAAAAAAAAGTATCACCTCTTACTTTAGTTGTTGGTAGTTGCTTCCCCTTGCTTTATGTCTGCTTTACTTTAGTTCAGGTTTGCATGGCTTTATTTATGGTGGATGTCAGTAGTTAAACTTCTATTCAAAACAGCCAGACCTTTTCATTTAACAAACATATTTAAGTGAATATTTCTCTCTGATATTGTGTACACACATTTACTTGCAATTTTTTTAAATTTTACTTTTTTATTAACAATATGAATGACATTTTTAATTCTAAAGCATTTTTAAAATTATCTTACTTTATTGTTAAACTTTTGGATAAAATTAAAGGATTGATAATTCTAACCAGTATGTCGTAATCAATATTGACTATATAAAATTTTTAGTATTAACTGTGTTTTAAAGCCTTAACCATCCTAAATGCTTTATTGTATAAAAATACTTTTGAAAGTGTTAACTACTTGCTTTTATCATTGATTTATAGATAAGTCTAAAAGTATGTTAACCTTGATATGGAAATGTTTCACAAAATGTCATGAAAATAAAAGTTTATCAATTTAACATACTAAACATTAAATATTCTGTTCAGTGGATATATCACTTACCAACATAAACTTTGAATAAAAAAAACTAAAAACATTTCAAATGTTTTAAATTGTGTATTGAGTATTCATTAAAATAAAATAAATATCCAAAGCAACATTAAATTAAGTTTTAATCAATAACCACCATTTCTCCTGCACATGCTAGATATTGATTCTGTGATTGATCCCTGACATTTCAGAAGTGTGAAGGCACCATCATCTAAAAGAAACCCTGACTCTGAGGTTATAAAGCGAGGCTGGCTTTATAGATTGGTAGGATTCAATTGTTTAATTTTGCTGCTTTTATCTTCTGATCATTATGTCATTAATTTAAAAATTATTTTATAGTAACTGATTTCCTATTATTAAAAACTATTGTTACTAAAATTAGTTAGAACTGGATTAAATATTTAAGTAAAAACCTCATTAGAAGGATAGGAAATGTCGGCTGAAAAGTTTGGCTCTAGATACAGTTAATAGTTAATAAAAAAGTTTGACCTGAGTGGTGGGTCACTAAATAAAGCTGTTGTAAAAGTTGTAGGTAAACCAGTATTACTTTAATTGTTGAAGTAATTTGTAATGGTTCACTCCACAGGAGACAAGTGGCATATCAAAAAGCTGGAAGAAAAGATGGTGTGTCTTGGCAGACTTTGCTCTGTTTATATACAAAGGTTTGAATAATAAAACACCTTTCTCATGAAATTAAATGTTGTCCTTAAAATTTTAGACACATTTCCTTTAGAAATAACATCTCTTTAAAAATGCTCTTTAACTATTTTTTCAAAATTTCTAGATGAAGATGAGGCTTTGACCTTGAACTCTATCCTCCTCCCAAGCTATAGAATAAATCCTTGTACAGAAGCAGACAACATAAAGCGGAACTTTGCCTTCAAGGTTTGCTTTGATTTAATGGCTAAATCTTGGTACTAAGCATGGCATTAATGGTACTGCTGGCCAGATTAATTGGTTAAATCATGGGCTTAATGGTATTACTGGCCAGATTAATTTTTTAAATCATGGCAATATTCTGGTAATAAGTACAAGCCATGCTTTAATATTTTAATTTTAAATTAGATGGCTCACTTTAATGATGCATTTAGAGGTTACTTACTTAATTAGCTGATTCATAAAATTTACTAATTAGGTACTGTAATTAGCTCAATGCATTGTGCTCCTCAAAGCTGATTTACAAGTCATTTTTAGTTGGAAAAAAATTAACCTAACGAGTGATGTGTTACAGGTAGAACACGAGAACACCAAAACTCTGTACTTTGCCACAGACAACTCTACAGATCTCTTCTCCTGGATGTCCCTACTCACACAGGCAGCCATCATGAATGGGAACGGGTAACTTTTTTGACATATCTGTTCTAGCAAATCAAGCTTCAAATTTGTTAGCGATTCAAAAAACATATATAAGCCTATATATATATATATATTTATTTATTTTCATTCTAAGTTTAAATATCTTAAAAAAAGTTGTCAGTGTTTTTAATAAATTAATGTGACAATACGGTTATTATTAAAAATATGTAAACAAAGAATATTAAAATAGAATTAAAGTGTTGATAATATCCATTGTAAATCATTCTTGCTGTATGTAACACACTTGTTGATGAATCAGTTTTCAGAGGGAAACAATGAACATGAGACAGCATCCACTTAAAGCTATGAACAAACCCACCTACACTGACCCCAGGGACCATGACCCCAGGGGTCAGTCTTATCAATACAACCCCAACGGTCAAGTCCCCAACGGCGGGTCTGCCCATAATAACAGCACCAACCCTAAAGCCAACCTTAGGTTGTCACAGTCCTCTAGCTACAGAGGATATGAGGACCCAGCCAAAAGTCCTTTGGGCACCCCACTGGAGCCTGTCTTCACTAGACCATTTGAGAACCCTCCTCCAGTTGAACTCCAGAGGCATCAAAACCGTGTGAGTTTGGATGGCTCAAACACTTTATCCAACTCCTCCTTCCGTGGGCCACAAGTGAACCCAACCCTGGAGAGGAGGGTCAACCCTAACCAGTCCCAGTCCTCTAGGAGTTTGTCTGGCAGCAGCCGCGATGACCCCAGGCTTCAGCCCCAACCGCTGCGGGACGGTTTCGCACCTGACTCGGCCCGCAGCAGTTTAGCGCAGTCTGAATCCAGCCACACAGGGGCGCACCAGTACAGCCCAGTGCAGGCTGAGAAGCAGAGGCTACAGCAGCAACTGGGCTACCCACTGAGGAACTCTGCAGAGCCACACAAACAGGTACAAGATCCACAAAGAGATTCTTATTCAGACTTTGATGCACCAGTCAAACAGCTGCACAAGTGGGATGAGAACTTCCCTGATCTGGAAGCGGAGAAATTGAAGCACAGTTCGTTCGATGACCTTCTTGAAGGGGGCAGGGGCAGGCACCCTGATACGTTCAACGTCCGCAGCAAGTCACATGAAAACTTCTCCAGACTTCCAGAGAGGAGGGATCAGCCCCCAGTGAGGTCAGAGAATAGCCAGCCCCCACACGGATCATTGCGGAGAGATCAGGCTGTAGAAAACCATTTCCCAGGTCAGCCATACAGAGATGGGCCTCAGCAAAGTAGACCCAACATGCAACAAGCACCAAATCAGCGAGGGAGTTTGTCCAACATCCAGCAAGTACCAAATCAGCGAGGGAGTTTCTCCAACATGCAGCCAAATCAGCGTGGGAGCTTGTCCAGTGATCGAGGCCAACCTAACTACACTGGAGCTAGAAGCACCAACCCCGGCAGTTCACAAAACATTTCCCGTAATCCTCAGGGCTCTGCATCCCACTCTAACCTCACATACGGCCAGCCTAACCCGGCTTTTAGGGGATCCCATCAGCTTCTTGGAGGTCCAGAACCCCATTCAAATGGTGACCCCATGAGGGGATCTCTCAGGTAAATTTATATTACTAATGATAAAATTATACATGGCATATAAACATATAAAACATTGGTTTTAAGAATTAAAACCATAAAAATAACAAGAGCTTATTTCTATTTAAATGACTCACTGCAGTTTCTTTTGTTCATATTTAATTAATTTAATAAAAGTAGCATCATATAGTTGTAGAAGTTAAGTACTTACTTAGCAATTTAAAAAAAATATATCACCCAAATGATTGACATAATTAAACATAACTTTAAATTATTAATATTTATATATATTTATAAATATATAATCTACTGTATAAAGTGTTTTTCTGCATGTCATAATAATATTGATTTCTTCCATTGTCATGGTTATTGTTTTGATTCACCCAGAGATGCCAGAGGTCAGGCTGACCCCAGACACATGCAGCATCCCCCAGGAGCTCCTCAACAAGACAGAAGATCCTACTCATCCACCTCCTCCAGCCATGCAGCTCCCTCTAACCCAGCAGCTAGGAACTCTGGGAACCCCCGGCAGTTTGACCCCCACCAGCAGCAGGCGTCTCTACCCCACCCTGGTCAGCAGCACTCTGACCTTCACCTTAACCTCAAGCAGCCGTATAACCCACATACATACAACAACCAAAGCAGCCCAGACTCGTACTTCCCACCCGACCGACCGCCCTACCCCTCCTCCATGAGGCAGCAGATTGTGGAGGAAATAGCGCAGACCAAAACTCCGGTCACACAGAAGGATTTCCTGACAGCCTCAAATTTGAGCATGCAGCGAATGCAACAGCCCTCATACTTTCAATATCCTTCCCCAAGAGTAAGTTTCTCTTTTTAAATTGATGTTTTCATACAATTTTCAATAACTGTAAAACCAACATCAGTTATTTCTAACTGATTTTAAAAAATTTAAATGTATTTAATCACTATTTAATGAACATTTTAATATCACCGGTTTTTATCCTATTTAATTTTAAAAACTTTATTTGCAACTATTATATCATCAAAAAATATAATGTCTTAATGTGTTCAGGATCAGCCCCCTTCCTACAACCGGTCACTCCAGAACAACCCACCCACAATGCAGTCCAATCAGATGGTCAGGAACGAACCGAATTCTCGCTTGTCCAACTCCAGCCAGGCCAGTCTGTCCTCACAGACCAATCAGAAACACAGCCCTCATTCACCTCCAGACTCCATGATGGACCCTGAAGCTCAGAAGTTGAGGATGGCTTATGGAAGGGTCAACAGTTTGAGAATGGCTCCAGACAAAGGTTAGACAACTTACAGATTTTAGTTCATACAATCATATTCCAGTTCATCACATTTCAGCCAATTAAATTTCAGCTAATCATGCTTTAACCCTAGTCTCTGCTACACATTTGACTCCATTTTATCTCACCTTTTTTTACGTTTTTTGTTCACCTTCTTTGTCAACATTAATTGATAGATTCTAAAAGGTATTAACCAATACTATTCTTTTGGTATATCTATTTTCTATTTTCTCTCTCATGCCTATCTGTTGTATTACCAACTATATACCTTTATTTACAATAAACCTGCTGTTACATCTTCTATTATTTATCTTCTAATCCCCATTTTCTTTTTCTGTTAGCATTTTAGTTTAAGAATACTGACTCAACATATATTTAACTTTAAAAAATTTGTCAACAGCTGCTTTTTCTTTCATCTTCTTTTTACATTTTGGAAGTAGTTTTGTCTCTAGGTTTACTCAGGGCTTCACTTAAAACTAGAGCTAGCATTAGACTCACCGACTCTTGCTTTTCTTTAACATTTTGACACCAAACATAAGAAATTTCAGGGAAAAATCTGGGATATTTCGGTACATGTTTCTCTGTTTGCGTAATCAAGCTGTGCATGCTCTCTGTACAACTATTTAGGAGGAGATGTCCAAGAACATTTGAACACATCCAACAACCAAGGCCAGGCTTTTGTGGAGCTTGAATCTTACAAGAGTTACCTGCCCGAATCATACAACAATTACCAGCCTGAATCAAACAACAGTTACCAGACTGAGTCATACAAAAATTACCAGCCTAAATCATACAACAATTACCAACCTGAATCATACAACAATTACCAACCCGAATCAAACAAGAGTTCCTTGCCTGAATCACACAACAGTCCCCTCCCATTTAAATCCTACAAATCCCAGGAGGAGCTAGACCAAGTGGGGAAAATCTCGCCGCCCATGGGCTCTTACAGCAGAATCCCAGACACACCAGAAGACTTGTTTTCTCGAGGCTCCGCTTTTAGACCACCAAAAACTGATTTGGTCTACAAAACTAAAAAATCTGGCCAAAGCTCCTGGAGCAACCATAAACAATCTACCTCAGCTTATAAAGCTTATCCTTATTATACTAACACAGAATTTGGAAATCACTACAGCAGGAGTGAAGTTGAATATGGAAAATATAACCATATAAATGAGATGGTGGAGAAATACAAAGGGAGAGATAATGGTTACAATAAACATTACATGCAGCCATATGTTTCTGAACGCAACCAGTTTGAACCAGCTGGGGAACCGTGTGTGCCTAGATGGGATGTAGAAAGTAAAAGGGCCCATCAGTGTCTGTTGCTGTCAGGTACACAGTTGTTGTGTTAACCAAAACTTCACCACTTGTTTGATTGGATGTTCACTTACCTGTATTAGTATTGATTTGTTTGCTTTAATCCTCATTTTTAATCAACTTGTGTCAAAAAAACACAAACATCTATTTACACATTCATTTTAACAATACTGTTTGATTTAAATAACCTTCTGCACAAGTAGTAATAGCTGGAGCATACTAATCTTGAAGCAGATGTTGGTTAATCCTAATCAGCTATTAGTTGTTTTTTTTTCTTAATTGTTAATATTTATTTTGGATTACAACACATTAAACAATATAATTTTCTTGTTTTTTTTTTCTAACAAAACTGTACATTTACAAACATTAAAATCTTTTTCCAAATAAGGGACTAAACTCTGATTGATTATATAGATTGGTCTCAATATCAAAATGACATTAAATTAAAAACAAACATAGTAATTCGCAAACTACCCTAGCCCAGTGCATGAAAAAAATGATACAGATTGCTATAATATCAACACAGCAAGTATCTTATTCTTTAGGAAACTAGTGGACCATGTATAGCCATTAGCACTCTTTAGCCATTTCCTATTAGGGATAAGAAGATATAAACTTAAATGTATAAGGCTTTTTTTTTTAAATGTGCCAAAAACATATAATTTGTGGTGGATTTATTACAGGAAGTTGATTTTAAACATAGTGTTTCCTTTTAACAATTCAAAATTACTAACCTCAGTAACAGTGTTATTACTAATCTCAAAGTGCAAGTGTACTGTTTAGACTTCCCCAAAGGAAAAATCAGCCTGTGTACTTTATTCATATAGAGTGTAAAGGAGTAGCTTAGTTAAACAATTATTTTGCATTTTTTTGCATGCTATTTGATTTTTTAAAGTTGTTTTAAGATGAAAATTTTTATTTCACAATTCATGCATGCCCCAATTTCCTTTTAAAATTTATAAATTATTGTATTTTTCTCCAACTTTTTAAAATGAATAAATACATAAATAATATATGAATAAATATATTCTCTTGCTTAAATGACTGCTTTCTAGCATTTTTTGCAGCAAATAAATTATTCAAAAGTTTTGATTTTCTCTATATCCATCAAGTTATAGTTCAATTGTAAAAAAGTGAGAAATTCAACACAAATATATTTTATTAGTTGTTATATTTAAAATGTTTTACAGTTTAAAAAATAAATTTAAAAATAATGGATTAACTATGCAAGCATTTACATAGAAGCTACACATTTTTAGATTTGTTTTTGTAACTAAATAAGTTGAATTTTTGCCACATGTATGAAAATAATTTGCTTCTGTTGATTGAATTTGTAACAATTTATTTCGCTTCCTTGGTCTCTCATGATGTACTATCAGTTAGTTTAAAATATGATAGGTTTTGGTATTTAATGTGATAGTGTGAACCTTCCTATTTAATCATCTAATTTTACTTTTGGCAGCTCCACCAAGAAGACAGGCACCTCCAATTCAAACAGTGAAAGAAGATCCAAACATGTCGGACAGAGATATTCTGGTAGGTCAATCTTTTGTTTCCTTGTTTTAAATAATCCTCATTTTTACTTGAAACTAGTTGTCCAAACATTAGACTAAAGCTTTTCCTTTCGTTCTGGAGCCAGTGGAGCAACTGAACTTGGAGATTGTAACTAGTCAAGACCAAGCTAACTATTCTGATGAGATGTTTTCTTTTTACATTACATCATTCTGCATATATTTTAAAATGAATTCTGACTACAATTGGACTACACAAAAAAGAAAGGATTAGATTGTTAAAACATGGATTTGTTTTATTTTCAGGAAACAAATCTTCAGAAACTGAACAAAAAAAATCCACTCAATGGCCCCCGTGTGAGGATGAGCATATCTGCTGGTGACTTGATTGGCAAAACTGTGAGTTCAATATTTAGAGTAGATTTTTTTAAAAAAGTCATCTTTTAGACAGTCACTGGGGCAGATGAAGTAGAGTTTATCTGTTTGATTGACCTCTGCATATTAAGAGGTAGTGTTGTCAGCTCTGCACCCAGTTGACTTTACAATTCCTGACCTCAGTTAAATACCCATCAGAGCTGGTGGGACTCAGGGACATTCCTCAAACTAAGGATCCCAACTTAAGACTTTTGGGTTAGTAATCAAGTGTTCTACCAGTGGAACCATCTGCATCACACGCTTTTACCTTGAAGGATTGGTTCCTATCTATTTTAGCACTTGTTTAAGAATGAAGAAAATTAATTGTCAGTAATTTTCTCTTTATACATAAGTTGCTATTAAATGCTGAATTCTAAAGTGAATTTGTTAGTGAGTGATTTAAAAAGTATTCCAGTAAATGACCTAATCCAGTTTTCCTACTTGACAGCATGATGAACTGGTGTTGTTCCTTATTCAACTGAGAAGAAATCAGGCAGCACTGGAGAATACAAAGGAAATGTACCATGGCCAGCTAGAGCAGAGGAGACCTGGAGAGATGGAATACAGGAAACAGTAAGTGTGGCCAGATTTAGCATTTTAATAGGGAAATTCTACATCTTGTTTTATTTAACTGTTAGTGATTCAACATAGCTAGTTATAAACAAGTAATCTGAGATTTTTTTCTATCTACTTGTTACAATCATAAGTAAGTAGTAAGGTTCCCTTTTCAAACCTGATAGGGCAAGTGAAGTAGAGTTCACTTGTTTCTCTGACCTCGGCATATGAAGAGATAGTGTGGTCAGCATTGTGCCCAGCTGCCTTTACTTTCCCTAACGTGAGTTAGGTACCCATCAGAGTTGGGTGTACTCAGAGACGGTCTACTGTATTGAACCCGGATTCGAACTTCAGACTTATGGGTTAGCAGTCCAGCTCTCTACCGCTAGGCCACTGCGTCCTCGTTACTTACAATACATAGGTCTACATATTGTACTTCTTGTATTGATTGATTGCAAAGAAGTTCTTTTAATTTACTTTAAATGTTTAAATTTTTTAAATTTTTAGAATGCAGCAGTATGGTGGTGTCCAGGACAGAAGATTATTTGATAACCATCAAAGTTATTTAGAAGCCAAAAGTCAAATGGAGGAAATTGACAACAAGGCATGCTTTTATTTAACTGTTTGTTATAATTTTTAAAAATATAATAGATAAATTTTATTATCTTATTTTAAAATAGATCCCAAATTTGAATTCATCTGTTTAATTTTGTTTTTCTATTTTATTACCTTTTCTAGCTGGAAGTTTACAAACCAATAATAAACCTCCTGGACAACATGGTTACTATGGGAAGTTTATATGGGGGAGATAACCTCATGCTAGCCACACAGTACAGAAAAGTAAGCTAATTATTCTTGGCTCTTTTAAATAAATACTTCAAAATCCTTTGTCTGATTTATTAACTTAATAAAATGAACTTAGTATATTAAGTTAAAAAATATAACCAATATTTATTTGATTAATAATCAGTACCTATTAAATTAATCAGTATTAAAATTAATAAATATATATCTAATATTTCCAATAAGTATGTAAAGCAGTAACTGGCAGTATAAAATAAAGATGTGTTTCACTCCTCTATCACACAGCACCTGTTAAGACCTGACCAGTACCAACCACCTAAAAAGATGCTGGAATTTTCTCGCAAGTTACAAGAGGAGAGGTTAAAACAGGAGACAGAATCAGAAATTAAAAAGTTGTCTTCTGATGAAGTCGACCTAGAGGTTTGCTATTTATCACAAATACAGTCAAGTGTTTCCTTTCTAAAAAATGTATTAAATGTAGCTAACATCTAGTAAAAAAAAAACATATTGTTTGAGATGATTTTAAAATTTTTTTTGTATCAAATTAATTTGAATCATTATTTAAAAAAATAATTAGGAAAAAATAGATCGCCTGAATGAACTAGACCGGCTACTACAGGAGCAGAGTTTTAAGGTCTCAAGCTACAGGGAGGATAAGGTAAATATTTATAAAATTTTTGTTTCAAATATCTTGGGTCCTTTACAGCACTAACTGTATCAGAAGGTAATCTTTTCTATCTTGAAGGCTTATTAACTCTGTATTTATTATCAGGAAATAATGGAAAAAGCTTTGAGTGGGGTCCTAAAACAACAGGACCAGTACAGTAATGACCCCAGAGAGATGCGACGACTGAGCCAGCAACAAAGGACATTGGAGAGAGAGATCTCTAGGGTGACGCAGCAACTGGCTTTGGCTTCAAAGGTTTGTCCAGATTTTTATGACAAAAAACTATTCGTAATGATGTATATGATCACATTTTTTATTGCTCAAGTTAAAAGAAATTAGATGTCAGTTGTTGAAATACATTATTAGAATATTTTTAAATTAAGTAAAATAATAATAACTTTTTCATAGATATTTTAAAAGTAGTCGTAAGGATTTTGAAAAATTGTTTTGTAGGAGCTTGAAGAAACATCGGCTGAAAACAATAAGTTGGAGCATGAGATTGCTTTACTACGCACCAAAGTTAATGGAGAACTAAACCGCAGTAAAAGCGCTCCATCACTGGTAACTCCACCATTTCTTGATATGTTTCATTTAAGGAAAAAAGAGAAAATCAGTTACTTTATTTGAAAAATAAAAATTACCATAATGAAAATAAAATTGTTTTATTTTATAGAATCTGTGTTATTTTACCACGTTTTATAATACTGCATGGTCTTTGCTCCACTTACTGTGTCAATTACTCTGTTTTAAGGCCACAGAAAACGGCCGCACTAAGGAAATGATGGAACAAGAGCTGGCAAAAGTGGAGGGCATCATGCAAGGGCTGAGCAAAGAAGGGGAGAGGTTGTCACAAGCTATGAGCACAATCAGACGCTCATCCTCCAGTTCTCAACTGGCCTCAGCCTTAGGTTTGTCTGGCTAACTTTAACCATTAGGTATCTTTACCCAGAAGTCATGAGCACAATCAGACGCTCATCCTCCAGTTCTCAGCCTTAGGTTTGTCTGGCTAACTTTAACCATTAGGTATCTTTACCCAGAAGTCATGAGTACAATCAGACGCTCATCCTCCAGTTCTCAACTAGCCTCAGCCTTAGGTTTGTCTGGCTAACTTTAACCATTAGGTATCTTTACCCAGAAGTCAGGAGTAAAATCAAATAGTGTTTGTCCAGTTTTTAGATGGTCTCAGCTTTATACTTATAGGTTAGAAAGTATAACATTTTAAAATGTAGAATATGAATTCCTTTTATATTTTAAAAAAAAAGTATTTCCAGAAGCTCCACAAATTTTTATCTATTTAAATCTTAAATATTGATTCACTTTAAAATAAATCTGTTTTGGATTATTTTATTGTTGCTGTTCCTATAGTATAACACATTTCCGTAATTTGTTTTATTCGCAGATAAAGACGAGGCAAAGAAGAAAAGCAACACGACCTACTTACAAACTGACCTTGACACCGGTGAACAGGTGGATCTAGCAACTACACCCTCCTACAACTCCAGGCCTCCAATCAATCATCAGCGCCAGGTAAGAATATTAAGAGAAAAAAAATTATATTTTTTAGTGTTGCTTTTCACATGTCTGGGCTTTTAGATACTTAATTTTTTTTTTAAATATTAAAATAAAGTACCCAAAAGAACTTCAAAACAATGCTATATTGCTTTGTCTTTTTATAAAAATTAATTTGAAAAAAATTAATGGAATTATTTTTTTAAGAAAAAAAAAGATTTCTAATTACTGAATTAAATTGGAAATAAAAAGCAAGTAATTAATTAGTTTCATTACAAAATTATATTTCATTAATGTGCTCACTTCTGTGTTTTATCAATTTTTCACTTGTGTACTTTTTCTCATAGCTGTTTATCCCATTAGATTTTTCCATTTCTTTTCTGTGGTTATAATTTTTAATTTCCTTTTTGTTTTGACCATGCCCTATCCCTGCTAATGTTTTTTCCCCCAGAATGCCAACACACAAGATGATTGGGACATGGAAGGTGCTGATGAAAATACTAAAAGATTTTTTGGTTGGTTTTGGTCTAGATTGTTTTTGTTTTCTGTAGGCAGTAGCCTAGTAGTGAAATTAGTGTGGTCAAGTAATATACTAGAGAAAACTGATTCTTAACAGGTCTTCCTGTTGGCATTGAAATCAAATAGAGGCTGCTTGGAGTCACTGAGCTAATTCCATCTCTCTGTACTTTTTCTTTTATTGCTTGTTTATACTACATGTTCCTACCAGTAATACCAGTTAAAACTATTTTCTGGACTGCTTTGTCAGTTAATAGTTTATTTTCGTGACTGTATTTTCAGTTAAACTATATATATACTGTTAATACTTTATTTTTTAGAATTTGTTGTCATTATTATGTCTTTGACTGTTATTTAGAATTTCCAAAAATTCTATAATCTTTAATTTTTCTACTTAATAATCTTCATGAAATTCAACTTAATTTCCATTCCTTAGTACTAACTACTATTTTTATTATACACCTTCTTTATTTAATTATATATTTTGAAAGTCTTTTATTAACAAAAATACTAATAGAATTCCTACATCTTGTAACTGGTGTTGTTTCGATCACTGTTTTAATCACTTGATTATTTCAACATTTATTTTTACTTATGAAAGAACCAAATTATATATATTTCTTTAATTTAGGCAACATTGGAAATAATCATTTGATTATTTCAACTTTTATTTTTTCTTAGTTATGAAAGGACCAAGAAATATATTTTTCTTTAATTTTGGCAACATTGAATAAATTTCTCTGTTAGGTCTTATACCAAGAGAAAAACCAAAAGCTTTGACTGTGAGAGATGTCAAGAGACAAGCAGAGCAGAGGAAAGAGAAAGAGAGGCAACAGAAGAAGGAGGATGATGGAGAGGGTCAGTCATTTATTTTTTATTTGTTGTGTTCAATGTTAGTAATAAGAGTGAACTATTTTTTCATATTAATGGGTTGTTAAGGTTTTAGAGAAAATTCCGTGTAGAATACTTGATGTAGTAGATTTTATGCTAGTTTTGTTATGAGCTCAGTGTTTATTGTGTTAAATAACACTGTCTAACTCACTACTTTGTGGTGATTTTATGCATCTCTTAAATAAAGTTTATTTTAACAGTTTTCCTTTTTTATTTGATAACATAAGTATACAATTTTTTTTAAAAAGTTTAAACGTATTACTTGTTTTTTTTTTCAAATTTACAGAAATCAAACTTCGAGTCAGTAATGTAGATAATGAGGTAAAAAATCTTTTGTTTCAATTCTACTTCTTTACGTTTGATAAACATAGTAGTTAACTTAAATCAAAATATTTGCTTTCATTTTATTTTGGTGTAGTTTTACTTTTAAAAACTTTTCTCATTTCAGAGCAGCTCAATTATTCATGCTCGCATACCTTCAGAAGCATCAGGACATTGGGAGAATGGTCACCCCTTGTATGAGAACCTTCCTCGCTACGCTCCAGTGGCCTCCAACGTACCTGAGAGTCACTCCGCCCCAGGCTCACGGAGGTCATCCCTCATTCTCCTGGCGCCCAAGCCATTCACCCCCTACCAGGACAAGTCCACGCGGCCATTCCGCAGTGAGCTGGCTCTAAACTCCGCAGGTGATCCACTCTTCTCAGCCAACACCAGCTCAACAAACAACCAACAAAGTGTCCCAGCGTCAGACGTGGATAGACCCTACCACAGTGTTGAAATGCTGAGTCAGCTGGATTCAAGGAGCACAAACAAAGTAAAAGTGGATGTGGACTCTTCTATAGATAGAAACAATAACGGACCTACTAACCTGTCTAGAAATGATTATTCTAGAACTAATGGCCAGTTTCATGCGGTGCCTTACAACTCACAGACAACACTTACAGCAGCATCAAGTCATACAGACACCAACAGACAGACAGGGACTGATAATGTTCATGAACAAGGTGAGATGTCTGTCTATACACTGGACTTGGTTGTCTGATAAGATATATAGACTTACAATTTTATCATGGTCTCTAGGTCTTGTGAATGACATAGGTTTTTTAATTTTTTAATTGCTTTTTAAGACCAGATGATGAAACAGTTTTACAGCACCTGTGCTTTTATTATCTTGGATTTTTATTTACTCCATATTACAAAGAATTGATTTTAAAAGGAGAAAAAATAAAACTAATATTTCTGCTACTGGATTTTGGTCAAAGTTGATAACTACCTCGTTTCAAATTCCCCTTGAATTGTTCTTAAAACTAAAGCCTGGACATTTGTTCTGTCACAAATTTCCCTTGAATTGTTCTTAAAACTAAAGGCTGGACATTTGTTCTGGGACAAATATCCCTTGAACTGTTCTTTCAACTAAAGCCTGGACATTTGTTCTGGCACAAATCTCCCCCTAATTGTTCTTTCAACTAAAGCCTGGACATTTGTTCTGAAACAGATCCCCCTGCCTCAGCTGCTCACATAATCCGGCCTGTCAACTTCTCGGCCAATCAAACATCGCTGGCCTACACAGCGCGACCATGGACCAAGTCTGGGGTGGACTGGGACAACAGCCTGTTCAAGAAGAACCTGAGAGGCAGACACCTGACAATATCTAGCAGTGAACCCCTCAGGCTGGAGATGAACCCAACCCTGCACAACTCAGCTGGAGATTTGATCATGAATAAAACGGTAAGTCCATTCTTCATTTCTCAGTTGTATGTTGTTCAAAGCAGTAACGTAATTCTCTTTTTCCTTACTTAGATTGTTTGTAAGAGTTGTGTTAAACAGTATTTTGACATTTATTAAAACAGTTGAAATGCTTGATCTTAATTATTGAATAATAAATATTTATATTTATATCCCACACTTTAGTTTTAATTGTTCTTATTTAAGGTGTTTTCTCAATTTATGGTAGTCTTATATTTATTTCAACATTTTATTAGAGGTATATAGTAAATATTAGTACTTGTATACATAATTTAAATAATTCCTTAATACTTATCTAGTAACATTAATTGGGGGTTTTAAATTATGATCTATGCTGCAGATAAAGAATTATGTTTTATGTTCATTGAAAATAATTTTACATAGCTATTACATAAAAAATATAAATGTTTGGAATTGATTAAAAATACTTACTAATTAAAGGTGTATTTATACCATTGAACGTAGTATTGATTAAAATTGTTTATCAATTATTTAAAGGTATATTTGTATAGCTGAACACAGTATTGATTAAAATTGTTTATCAATTATCTAAAGGTATATTTGCATCACTGAACTCAATATTGATTAAAATTGTTTACCAATTATCTAAAGGTATATTTGTACCATCTAATAAGGGTAAGATCATCAGAGCATGCTCAGTTATAATGATTAAAATAATTGAAAATCAATATTGAAGTATATTTACTAGAATGTAATTATTCAAACTATGTGGCAATGGTGAAAGAAATGTATAATTTATGTGTGTACATATATATATATATAAATATATATGAGGTACTTGTATAATATATCAGTAAAGTTTAAGTTTGATTTATCAATATTAGGTTTTTAACCCCTATGCTCATCAATGAATTGTTCCATATGCTATTATCCAGTGGGAAAAAAAGCTCAGTTTTCAATCAGAAAATCACTTTTATCTCCTTAACTGTTGAAAATGTAGTATTATAAAAAAATAATCTACTAGAAACAATACATTTTATAAAATAAAAACAATAAGCCTGAACATTAGTAAAAGTAATTATTGTTAGATACACGTTACTTGGGTCTTGAGGTGTATGGTGAATGAGCTTAAAACTGTTATCTGTTATCTTCTGCATGGAGAAATAACTCTGACTACAGTTATAGCTAAAGGCCTACAAGTTATTGCTTTCTAATCTTGTATTGCTGCATGTAAGAAACTAATAGTTGACCAGAAAATTGGCTTCATTTTATACAGCGATTGCTGAATAAGTGCTGAATTCTGGTGATACATGATCAAATGATTGTTGTAACTCTTAATTGGAAAAGTTTAAAGAAATCTTTCTTATTGTTCATTAGCTTTTTAATTCAAGTTTTTGATAGCTAGGCAATATTGCTTGCAGACTATCTAATTATTCAAAAACAACTTATTACATTTTTTGGAGCAAAGCTGTGATAGTATATTTTGGTTTAACTTATATATTTTAAAAAATTATCTTGCAGATAAGTTTGTTAAAAGTAAAGTTAACCTCTTTTGATAATATTTTGTTTCTCTAACAACTGCAAGTACTTAGCATGGTAACAATTCACCTACCACCCTGCCCCATCCTTATGTACCTTCCCTTTTTTGCATGGCACCCCCACAGATTGACGATGTCCCTGATATTGTGAAAAGCTCACAAACAAAAATGGACCAGATTGACGCTGATATTATAGACAGAGAGGTTGTAAGTATAGACTGGAGCACAGCCGATCCAACACTACAGAACTGGATCATTTCATTTCATTAAACAAATCACACAACACTATAACCATATTATAGTAATTTGCTAAGCTGAGAATTTTTTAATGAGACAATATTTTTAGGTTTTAAAGTTAACTATATTAGGGTCTTTGCTGTAGTTAAATTTTTATATAAAAATATTTTTAAAATTATATATCTTGTTGTTTTTTTTAAATGATCACTGAAACTGTAACTAAATATAGTTTGGTAAAGGGCAGCAACTCTGTTTTCTTGTAGCTGTACATCCCAGAGAAAGTGTTAATACCAGAGCGTTATGATGCGGATGCCGATGCTGAGCACCTGACTGAAGAAGACAAAATCATACGCCAGGAGAAAGCTGAGAGAATCAAAAGAATGTTGGCATCACAGAGGTATGTGGTTCTCATTGTAAGAATGTTGGCATCTCAGATGTATGTGGTTCTCATTGTTGGCATCACAGAGGTATGTGGTTCTCATTGTAAGAATGTTGGCATCACAGATGTATGTGGTTCTCATTGTAAGAATGTTGGCATCACAGAGGTATGTGGTTCTCATTGTATGAATGTTGGCATCACAGAGGTATGTGGTTCTCATTGTAAGAATGTTGGCATCACAGAGGTATGTGGTTCTCATTGTAAGAATGTTGGCATCACAGAGGTATGTGGTTCTCATTGTAAGAATGTTGGCATCACAGAGGTATGTGGTTCTCATTGTAAGAATGTTGGTATCACAGAGGTATGTGGTTCTCATTGTAAGAATGTTGGCGTCACAGAGGTATGTGGTTCTCATTGTAAGAATGTCGGCATCAAAGATATGTTTTTTTATCAACAAACATATACATTTTAGAGGATTTACCTTGACAAATGTTCCATGGTCCAGTGTTTTTTTAACACAAATGTTCCATGTTCTGTTCCATGTTTCAGTGTTTTATCAACACAAATGTTCTATGTTTCAGTGTTTTATCAACACAAATGTTCCATGTTTCAGTGTTTTATCAACACAAATGTTCCATGTTTCAGTGTTTTATCAACACAAATGTTCCATGTTTCAGTGTTTTATCAACACCAATGTTCCACATTTCAGTGTTTTATCAACACAAATGTTCCATGTTTCAGTGTTTTATCCCTGTCCCAACAAGACCTCCACAAGCTGCCACAGTATGATATCCACAAAAGAGCTGAGCAGGTCAAACATGAACGGGCACAAATCCTGACCATGAACCAGGAACTGGCGCGTCAAGTCACTCAAAAAACTAAAAAACAAGCAGGTTGGTGGGGGAGATAACCTCAAGTTTTTTATAGAGCTATTCTCTAAAGATCTTTATTTTAATAATGTCACTTGTCTTTTTGATATTTTAATTCTTTTGTTATAGTTATAGTGTATTTTTGGTAACACATTTTTTTAAAAACAACCAACTAAAACTAACAAACAGCACTGCTGCTGACAAATACAACATTATCTGTTGCCATGGACAGATTAAGTTAATTGTTAGGCAACAATTAGGCAAAGAAGATACTTAGGGGTGGTTAATTAATTTAGTGTTATCAATAGTGAAATATAAAGATATTATATTAGGTAAATTTGATTTGTGTAAGTCAATGATTTAATTTAACATTTTGTTTGAAATTTTTTTTTAGCTGAGAGGAGAAAGACCTGGTCAGGTGCACAATTTCAGGAGATAAGGAAACAGTATGAGGAGGGGAACATGGTCAACTAGTGAGGATAGGGGAACATGGTCAACCAGTGAGGATAGGGGAACATGGTCAACTAGTGAGGATAGGGGAACATGGTCAACCAGTGAGGATAGGGGAACATGGTCAACCAGTGAGGATAGGGGAACATGGTCAACTAGTGAGGATAGGGGAACATGGTCAACCAGTGAGGATAGGGGAACATGGTCAACCAGTGAGGATAGGAGGGGAACATGGTCAACCAGTGAGGATAGGGGAACATGGTCAACCAGTGAGGATAGGGGAACATGGTCAACCAGTGAGGATAGGGGAACATGGTCAACCAGTGAGGATAGGGGAACATGGTCAACCAGTGAGGATAGGAGGGGAACATGCTTAACCAATAAAGATAGGAGGGGAACATGCTTAACCAATAAAGATAGGAGGGGAACATGTTAAATGAGGATAGGGGAACATGCTAAATGAGGATAGGGGAACATGCTTAATGAGGATAGCAGGGGAACATGCTTAACCAATAAGGATAGGAGGGGAACATGCTTAACCAATAAAGATAGGAGGGGAACATGTTAAATGAGGATAGGGGAACATGCTAAATGAGGATAGGGGAACATGCTTAATGAGGATAGCAGGGGAACATGCTTAACCAATAAGGATAGGAGGGGAACATGCTTAACCAATAAGGATAGGAGGGGAACATGTTAAATGAGGATAGGGGAACATGCTTAATGAGGATAGGAGGGGAACATGCTTAATGAGGATAGCAGGGGAACATGCTTAACCAATAAGGATAGGAGGGGAACATGCTTAACCAATAAGGATAGGAGGGGAACATGTTAAATGAGGATAGGGGAACATGCTTAATGAGGATAGGAGGGGAACATGCTTAATGAGGATAGGAGGGGAACAATGGAACATGCTTAACCAATGAGGATAAAAACAGTATGAGGTGGGGAACATGTATAACCATTGAGGATATAAACAGTATGTGAATGAACATGTGTAAACACTGAAACAGTATATGAATGAAGATGAATGAACATTGAGATTCTCAATGAGACGATAGAAATCAAAAGAGATGGAACATTTTTTTAAGCTGGACTGTGTTTATCTACCTTTCCTGTGGTTTTATTGCTCAATGAAACTAAAACTGCTGCTCATGCAAATATCACTCATTCATGAATTTTTTATGCAAATTCTAAATTGTTGATGTAAATTTTATTTTTAAATATGTATTTCTTAAAAATTATCAAGTTATAAAAGAAAAGGATTTTTCCACTAGTAAAAATTCTGGTACCTTAGTTATCTGTTAAACTTACTGAACACTGCTGTGAAAACAATGCTCTAGTATATTTGTATAAAAATACTGCTGTTAATTCTCATTATGATCAAATAGAAATGTTGTTTCATATTGATATATACATATCTTCCATTTATTTAAAACAAACTTTGTATTCCATTTTATATACCTTTTATATTGTTGTTCCAAGTCTTCCTATATATTTGGTATGACATTTTTTTAGCTTGGATTATTTTAAAATTCATGTACAAAATCAAAGCGTTGAAATTGTGTACATATAATGATGTTACGATGATTTTGTTTTATTCCAATTTATAGCAATTTTAATTGAAACAAAATAAGGGAGGTAAAGTTGTGAGTTACTGCTGAACATTCCTGTAAAGAGCTGTGAAACATTCTTTTAATCTATTGAACTAAATGACCATGATAAGAAATTATTCATTCCATTTTTAATGAATAACCACAAAACTATCAAATCTCTTTCCCCACATTCAGTGTTCCAACCATTCAAATTTTTAAAATAATTTTTTTTAGCAGTATATAATTAATAATCTAAACAATTTTTCACAAATATTCGAAGTATGCATGTATTTATGTATGTATAAAAAAGTTCCCTTCCTCTAAGCCCAGAATGCTGGTACCGTAGGAGTCATCTTTGAATGTGTATGTTGTTACAATGAAGTAGAACTTAGCTGTTCAAGCTCTACTTTGTGATATAAAATGTCATGTACTTATCCATCATATTTTTTTATATTAGACTGCATAATATAGTACAAGGTATTTTTACGACAAAACCTTTCTGTTCTTTCAGCTAATAATATACATAAGGCATTATATAACAATGCTTTAGTAAATTACTTTGAAATGTGTTTTTATACTTCATTACAGACATAGCTGTTCACTTGTCGGGTCATTGAACAAAATATTTTAAGTTCTTTTATCTGTAACTTGTTACATCAATTTTCTTATTTCCCAGGGTGTTGTTAAGATGTAAAGGAAGTAGCCTTTGCAGCTTATAACTTATTATCTTAAATTATGAAATTAGAAATGTACATAGGTAGTTTTTTTTACACAAGATGTGAGCTGGTTACATATCTTTGATTAATCCAAATAAAATACAAACCTACGGAACTATTTACTTCTAGTTTCAGAAGTTCACACTTAACATATCCCAGTGCTCGCCTACGTACATTAAAGTTATCCCAGACTGGTTAATTTATATATAGCATTGCCATTTTTTTCTATTTGGATGGTGTGGTACTAAAAAAGCTATCTGTATCCTGGTAGTTTTTTTTTGACTGTTACAAGTAGTAAAAACAAGAGGTATCCATAGCAACATATCAAACAAAACATTGCTTGAATCATTTTTTATTACATTTTTTTTTACAAAATTATGCTAATTTGGATTAATTAAAATCAAATTATTTTCATACTGCATGTGATTCTGCTTTTTTCTTGAAGCTCGTGTAACAAGTATGACTGCATGATCACTCAGCTATTTTCTTTATACAAAGATACATAAATTCCAGTCCATTTGTTACAGGATAAAATTATTTACAAGAACAACAGAACATCCCAGTGGTCAGTTTGATTGTGTAAACAGATAATTTATTTTTTCAATTTTTGGAACTTAGAACACAGTGGATAAAATAAAAATGCACCCCATTTTTCTCAAAAATAAAAAACATTTCAGCTATTAAATGCAAGTAATTTAATATTGCACTGAAATTAAGGAACACATCTAGCTAGTACGAAAGTAAGTCATAAAAGGTTAACCAAAAAATGTAACCGCTTTCAAACACGCAAGAATGAAACCATTTAAATGATTAGTTAAAAAGTAAATAACAGTGCCAATATTTTTAGACATCTGTTAAAAGATATGTATTCATAACAGAAAAAGGTTATTTAAAAAATAATGTAAGTTTGTCTTAAACTTGCTGTATAAATAAGGTTAACCTACAAGTAACAGCTAGTAGATTACATTAAATAAATTAACTGAATTAATTTAAACTTAGGACACACTATGTAAAGCAATTTTTTTTTTACATAAGCCAAGTTTGGTAAACAGCACTATAAAACTAGACTAAAACAGCAACATACCTGCTGAAAATTGGGATAGATTATATACAAAGGGGATCAACTTCATACAATAGCACCATGTTGAAATGTACTTTATCAGATATTTTTTAAAGCTTCCTCTTAAGGGGATATGTGCGACATAAAATCACAAAATTCCTTGTTTTTCGTCATGATGGGTTTCTTGCACTTTTGGATACTTTGTCCATTTTTGTATTAAGAAAATAATAACTTTAAAGAGAAAAAAATAATTTTTAAGTGTTTAAATTACCATTTTTATGACCCTATTAATTAAAAAATAATCAATTTTTCCCAATCTTATGAAAAGTTTTATATATATATATATACGTCATCATATTGTATTTGGCATCATTGGAAAGCTGGATTTCTCCTTTATTTGATAATTTAATTTCCATCTCGGAAACACCCAAAGCTTACAATCGGCTTTGCAGTTACACAGATATGTTATTTTCGTGACCTACTTTTCGTTACTTTTGGCTGTTTTTCTCAGTTCAAAGGTTTTTAACACTATAAAGCCTACTACTTTTTTTATTTATTAAACAATCGCCACCATATTTTCAGTAATAATCTTCATGCAAAAATACAACTTTTGTCACGAGGGAATTGTGATGGCTTTCATAGAAAAAAGTATTTGGTAATTAATAAGCAAATTTTGAAACTTTTGAACACTAAAAATGGTACGATTTTTTAGACTTTGTAAAATTCTTACTAGTAGCTATTTCAAAAAGTTTTCGTGACAAAAGTTTTAATATATACTGAAATATAAGCAGTTTAAATTTGATTGCTATAGATGCATAAATAAAAAAGCCTTAGCATTTTTAAAAGTACCAAAAAATTCAAAATGACGAAGGTTTTTTTGAGTTTCCATGACAACCAAAATTGTTTTCAACCCTTTTTTTGCTGTTTAATACTTACTTCCAAATGCCAAACATGATACATATATTCAAAAGGCTTTAGATATTAAATTGTTAAAAATAGGAAAAAAAATGCGAATATCCCCTTAAGCCATTTGTATTTATACAACAGTTAAGAATAATACTGTTTGAAAAACTTGGTGTAGCAGATTTTGAACAAGTGACATTTTCTTCCCTAACTTCACAAAAACTAAAATAAGAAAAGATTGTGGAGAATTTACAAATGCTGCTTGCATTAAAAACACAGGGAAACATATAATTAGTTACTTGGTAAAAATTACAATTTTAAACAGCTTGAAATTTTCTTTAACAAAAACTGATTAAAACAAGAAAAGATTGTGGAAAGTGCAGCTTGCAATAAAAATGCAGGGAAACTTGAATTTGGTTACTGGGTAACAATTACTATTTTAAACAGCTTGAAATTTTTTTTTATAAAAACTGATTAAAATAAGAAAAGATTGTGGAGAATTTACAAATGCTGCTTGCATTAAAAACGCAGGGAAACATAGAATCTAATTAGTTACTGGGTAACAATTACTATTTTATATTTAAACAGCTTGAAATTTTATTTCACCAAAGCTGATTAAAATAAGAAAAGATGGTGGAGAATGCATCTTGCATTAAGGGCATGGGTGGGTGATGAAAACCAAATTAGCCAAAATGCTTATTTCTAAACCTAATGCTATAATATTTAGCACCTAGTTATAACTGAAAGAATTAAGTCTAAAAATAAAAATAAAAGGCAGGAAATTTTCTGCCATTGCCATCTTGGATTTTATTTACCTTTTTAAATCGAAATAACTCAAATAAGACTTCAATAAAAAAAAACATACAGTATTATAGAGACACATGTTTGTAACTATTCTGATTGATTACATTGTCAAATTTTAAATACTTTTGTTTTTACAATATTTTTTTCTGAAAATCACTTTAAAATTATTTTTTATTTGTGCGAAAAATACACCATTTAACAATAAAAGAAAAATTATTAAATTTTTAAACATTTGTTTTGTTGGTATATGTATACAGAATAACTACAGAAAATTTTGATAAATTTTAATAATAATTACAAAAGTTATTTCAATGTTTAAATGTTAAAAAAAATTCCAAGATGGACACCATCACCATGGCACCGGCAGGAAATTTTCTGCCATTTTTTAATTTTTAGACTTAACTCTTTGAGTTATAACTATATGCAAGATATGATACCATTAGGTTTATAAAAAAGCATTATGGCTAATTTGGTATTCGTCATCCGCAAATGCCCTTAAAAATGCAGGGAAACTTATTTTTGTTGGATACTGGGTAAAAATTACTATTTTAAACAGCTTGAAATTTTATTTCACCAAAGCTGATTAAAATAAGAAAAGATTGTGGAGAATGCAGCTTGCATTAAAAACTCAGGTAAAAAATTATACTTTGGTTACTGGGTAACAGCTGCCATGCATGTTTAAACACTGCTTAAATGCCTCCTGGCAGTCGTTGATGTCTCTCCATGGTCGATGGATGTGTTTTTCTATTAACTTCAGGTAATCCAACAGGATCTTTATGTTGGATTGGCTGTTGTTTCCATCAATGACAGAGGTCAAGGCCTCCTTGTAGGCTGCCTCCATTTCCGCCATTGGTAGAAGAATCCGAGTGATGTCCTGGCTCTGACCACAGGTCACACACTGGGCCAGTTCAGTCAGGTTACCTTGTGGGATGGGCACATAGCCATCACAAACCTTACATCTCAGTATCGGCCTGTCACATGGGATCTCAAAGTACAGCGGCCAGTCCCCTAAGCAAGCTTCACAAGAGCAATCAAAAAAGTACTGTGATTTCAGGGTCCTTTGTCGAGTCTCAAGATCCATTGTTGGGTAAAGGGCACCATAATTATCCTTGAGTTCCTCACCAGCTTGTATGCTACGTATGGCCCTACCAACACAGATGTTACCGTAAGACTCACGAACCACTGATGGGTCACAAGAGTGGTTGATAAGACTAAGCACAGGGTAAGCCCCAGCTGCTAACTCAGTTGTGCCAGACATGGCAGGGGTTTCAAGATTTAAAGCAAACTCTGAGATTTCATGGGCATTACAGGGCAGCATCATGAGATTTCTGAGGATGTGGCCACCCACACATGTCTTGTTATTCAATACATTTTCTGTCACAGTTTCTGCTTCTGGTTCTATAAATGCTAAACTTGAATAATTCAATTTTTTGGTGTTTGTAATCTTTTCTGAGAAAAATCCCGCAAATTCTAGATATCTGAGATAATACAATGCAGTAATAGTTCTATTCAACAAATCAGTCCAAGTCCTGCTGTCTGCATGGTTGACTAAACTATAAGCAGATCTGTAATCCTCAGAATTATAAATCCCTTCTTCATCAAAACCAGAAGTGCGCAAATCTTCTTGTGAGTTCACTTTCTCGTCAATTTTAATCAACTCATCATGACCAGCAGTCAGAATCATACGCATGGCCAACAGGGATAAGTTCTTATCCTGGACACTGTCCAAGATGTGGCACTCTGCCCAATGGAACTTCAGCCAGGCAGCATTTCGACACTCTAAGCTACAGAACACAACACCACTGCAGTATTTACAGGGGATGGCCAGGCTTACCCTGTTACAACAGTATTGACAGTGGCTTAAGTTAAACTCCTTTAGCAAATGAGTGGCAAATGGGGTTTCGACTATCAGAACCTCACCAATTTCAATATTTTTTCTGGCAAACAATCCTCGACCACCATAACTATCCAGCTTGACTTCCACTGAATCAGACAAGCAGGGAATTTCCTTATTAGTCTCAGAACTAAAGTTTGGTATGCCTTGGTGACAGCAGTTGTGTGTTTTAATGGACAAATTCACTGGAGGCAAGTTAATTTTAGAACTTTGTTCTATGGCTTTGTTCATATCAGCAATCATGCTGAGCCTGTTTTCTTCTGTTAAATCAGCTTTTTCAAGCGCTGATATTGTTTGTTGGAAGGCTTTAATAGCTTCTTGTTTATTGCACAAGTAATACATGCACCTGCCTATTCGTTGGTAGAGTTTGTAACAAGACTTGGTGGGATAGTTGTGTATAAAAGCTAGTTCTACATCTTGCAAGCACTGGGCATAATTTTTCATGTAGAAGTTTGCGGTTGATCTGTTATTGTATGCCAGAGATAAATTCTCTGAGTCGTCAGGAGCTTTAATTATACTTTGAGTATACCAGCTAACAGCTCCTGGGTAGTCCCCAGATTTGAAGCATTCATTCCCAATTGCACGCAATTTTTCTGCTTCTCGCTTGCATTTTGATTTGAAATTTTCCTCTACGACAAACAGCTGCTTAGCCTCTTCTAAGTTATACAGGGTAGCAACTCTCTCGGCATTTGTTTGACACTTTTTAAAACTTGAAACAAAGTCATCGTACTTGTTATTTTTTTCTAAGTTTTCTTTCAGCTGTGTTAAGATTCTTGAAACATTTACACCATCCATCTGGAAATATAAAAAATATCTTTTTAAAACATTAAAACAGACAAAAAATCTGATTTCTATCAAGATTTAACTTGTGTAATTTAAGCTACTAGCAAATTATGGTAATAGAAGTATTGGTATTATCGATGTCCAACAACAGACTTTTCTAACAATGGGTGTGTAAGGCTGGTGGCAGTAGTTATGGTCAGAAATTAAGGTTTAGGCATATGAATATGGTATGACTTGGGTTACTCTGAAGCCTGAAGGGTTACAACTTACATGACATAATCAAGTTATATTTGGTATTTAGGTAACTACTTGTCAAATAAACTAATGGACCTATTTAAAAAGATTGCATTACTTAATTTATAGAAAGGCTATATCTAGTTTATTTATTTAGCTTAGTTTACTAAACTTCTTTTAGAATGGCAGGATTATTTTAATTTCTATTGAACAGCGAAGAACTGGCAGATTTACTTTAACTATACTTAGAATTCCTAAGTATTAGTAGCCTAATCAATAAAAATTAATGGCCTAAACTCTAAACCTTTTCTATTTAGAAACTCTGGGGGCACTTGAATTTATTTTGGGGGGGGGGGGGGGGGGTGAAGAGTGGGCTAAAATTTCCAGGGGTGGGGGCGTCACTATAGTACTAGAGTAATAGTTAATACTAATATTTATTAGCCTATTATTTATAATATTATTATTAATATTATAGCATTGATTAGCATGGCATAGCCATAGGCTACATCCATGATATTTTGTGTCACTGTCTGTCTGTTACTCACTGTACTCTGTCTGTGTAGTGACACTGGAGTGTATGTACTACTACTAGATCTAGAACTAGTCTGTCGTATTAGATCGAGTACACTCAAAAACTGTCATTGTTTGTACTTTGTCATGATTAACGGTTATTAATTTTAAACAGCTCAGAAAGAAGTTTCCAGAGTAGTAGGCACTGAGGTCTTTTATTTAGTTTTTACACATTGGCACAAAACGTAGGGCCTATAGTATAGTAGATTCTAGGCTTCTTGTGTTATTATTCTAACGTCATTATTGAAGAGAAGTAATTAGTAAATAATTACTTGAAGGTTTGTTATTATTAGTCCAGTCTAGTCTTATGGTATCGGCGTATGCCTTCTTTAGTCATTAGAAAAACTCTTTTGTCTACGAAGATTATATTAGCCTAATCCTTTTTTTGTGACGGAATAAATTGTATTCGCAAAATCAGAATAATATAACTATCGTCTTCTCTAGGCTGCTGTATGTCGTCTTCTCTACCCACCGGGTGAAACCATTTAGAGGGTGACACCAAGACAAAAAAATAGGTTTTTTAATTAGAGTTAAAGAGCATTTTTGGTACAAATTGACGATCCCGACAAGGGGCGGGGGAGGGAGAGGGGGGGTGACACCATGACCATGACATAAACCTACTGACTAAAGAGAAAATAGTGCTCCATCCAGCTATATTATTAATCGACCATAGAATATACTATAGATAAAGATCTTTACTATTTACTGTGAACCCTTTATAGCTCTCATATATATATATATATATATATATATATATATATATATATATATATATATATATATATATATATATATCATATATCATATATCATATATCATATATCATATATCATATATACTTTTTTCTTTGGAGGGGTGGGGGTGACACCATGAGTGATCGCACCGGGTAACACCCGACTTAGCGACGCCACTGGGTAGAGCTACATGTTTTATTGTTTGACGTCACGTATTTATTGGTCGAATGGTAGTGCTTGCATCTACTAACCCGAAAGTCTTGGGTTCGGATCCCTTCATAAGTTCACTAAACTACGTTAGGTGAACAAAGACGGTTTGGCATAATGCTCCCCAAACTTTGTGGTGTGCCACAGGGGACGGGTGGGGGCGGACACTGGTTTCTATATAAATTATATCTTTTTCTATTAGTCCATGTTGGTGTCCAAAGTAGACCTAAGAGTAATAAAAATGCCATTCATAGGTCAAGTCAACCAATGTTACTTGATCTATCTATATATATATAATTCTCTTCAGGAGACGCTAGAAAACAAGCAGCAAGCGCGCTCCCTACCACCCCACCCCTACATGGTCTGGTGAGCTGTGGTTCACGCTAAATATTTACCGTCGTAGAGCCGAGTTTAGTGACGGCTATTAGGGGCAGATAATTTAGTTTGAAACGATTTTAAACTTAGGGGAGGTAACGTTTTAAAGCAGATATTTTCAGTGGCAGCATTGGTGCTGTCGAATTCACAAATTATGAATTACTGAAAAGTAGAAAATAAAACAACTAAATAGCGGCGTATGATACGCTGCGGGTCGGCTCGTTGTCTCTAAATGACAACGTGTTTAGTTGATTAGCAATGGCATTTTACGTAATGCTAGGGGTCATCCTTTTATGACGTCCTCAAAAATTTTGATTTTATTTTAGAACCCTTGACTCACAACCCCCACCAATCCCCCGTCCACGTGTCCACAAAAGTCGATTTTTTTCGGACCCCCAACCTCACCCCCCCCCCTCGTGTGGACGTCATAAATGGATGACCCCCTTTTTAATATTTAAAAATAACACGTAAGTTCATTAGGGTGAATGTGAGAGGGAGGGGGCAGATGAAAGCGACTTCATGAAATGCAATCTAATATCATCTCATAAGTTACAATCCGAGTTCTTTTTTCAGCGATCACCAAATGTGGAATCCCAATCTAGCCGTATCAGATCTAGACTTCCCTCTATAGCAGACGTGGAAGTAGCCGTCAGCTGGCTCTAATGAAAGTTTTGAAATCGTTCGCATCTTGATTATGGTGTGTGGGAATCTGATTAGAATCTAGTCTTGTAGGCTTTCAACTAAGTTAACAAGAAACATATTATTAACTTTTAATTAAAAGTCGTACATAGACAACATCACGCATCATGTGGCCTGGGAGAGATTAAGACTGAGTGACTTTATGACGATGTATCACGCAATAAATGGTGGATTTAAAAATAGGACATATTACTTTTTTTTAAAATGAGTCAAATAATTTGATTTGTAAGTGCGGTAGGTACGGGATCTTGGCATCTTGTGACGATGTGTGACGGTGGGGGGGGGGGGGGGGGTATGCGCGGGTTGGAAAGTTTAGAAAAAAAAAAATAAAGAGCATCACATTTTCCCTGAATTTTCACAAGTAAGCTGGTTTTAGAAATTATTTATAGGAATACCAGGTGTGTGTGTTGTGGAGGGGGTGGGGGTAGCAAGTGTTATATTTGATCTAATCTTTAAAACCTTATTACAAATAAACCGGGAGTGATCTCCCCTAAACTTTCTCGAATATTCTTATATAACACTACGGGGGATTGCAACTCGGGATGAAGACACTATTTTTAATCCATTTTTAATTACTTAAACTTTTTAAAGTAGAATAGAATCTCGTAGAAAAAAATAATTGCACACCAAGTGAACGCCAAACAAAATGTGTATAATAGTGCGTAATATTATTAGTACTTTATAAATTCGCTTGCGGTTTTTGAAAAATCGGAAATAGCGTAAATTACTACTTTCGGTCAAAGGAAAGTACTCAAAATTTGATAGAAGGCAGAGAATTAGATGTTTTACTGACATGTGAAATTTCATTTATCTATCTGAAATAGTACTCAAGTTATAGGTTTTGAAAAATTTAAAGTAGAAAAAGTTCCACTTCCGGTTATCGGAAATCGCTGAAAAGTTAATTCAGATCTACAAATTTGATATAATATTTAAATATGAAATTTCATTAACCTAGCTGTAACGGTACTCAAGTTATCGTGTTCACAGACACACGCACACATATAGACATACGGACAAGATTGCAAAACTATGTTTTTCCGACTCAGGGAGGTGTAAAACGTCGAGATTTGCAAACAATCTCGATTTTTTAAATTATTTTTTTTTGCACGATTACAATATTTACTCTATACTTCGTATACGAGAAAGTAAAAAAGCTGAAACACAATTCGTTGTATAACTGTAGACCTTAAAGTGAAGCCCACTAATATGTGTAGGCTACTATATAATGTAAAAAAAAAAAACTACTGATGAGACTTCATAAAGCATGTTAGATTAAAAATGAATTTAATAACAATGGGGGTATTCAGTACTTCAGTCTTTAATCTCCAAACCATCAAACGCACGGTTCCTAAACGGCGTGATTTTATTTTTATCTTCTATAGACACAGTGCAGTTGTAATGATTGTCGTTAATGGCCTGGCGAGCTACATGGTTTTATCGAACAGCCCAGCACACCTCATTGCTTGCACGCGCCTCGGTGCGATTGCGCGAGGCTTGGGGAAAAAATAGTCCTTGTGGGAATGCACGCGCTGTTATAGCCTTGTCCCCAGCTCGCATAGGACTACACATCAACGTGAAACACTCGACACAGAGAAAAACAAATTTCAAGAGAATTATTTTTTTTTAATGATGAAAGTATTGATCGAAATAGTATAGGGAAAAGTGAATGAAAAACAAAACAAAAACGTTAGATATGAAGCAGCAGACAGGGTTCTGACAAGCAGACGTCTATCGATAGAAAAAACCAACCTACGTGTTGATGCTGGGTGTCGCCGTGTCGTTCCAATCACAGAGTCGCCATAACAAGTCTCAACCCGGACACATTTGATTCATTGATGCACGCGCGTCGCTCCGTGTCGCCGGCCTGACCTTGACACGTTGTGTGGTGTGTAGCTGAGATGAGAACTCACCGTAGGTTTTACCCTGACTTCCCGGGCCCGTGTACCTAATGGATTTCTCGAGCGGAATCATAAAATATTTCACAGTTTACAATCAATAATGCTGTAGTGTCGATATTCGACCTGTTCTGTTCCATCGGCTAGCAGACGACAGTGTATGAAGATTCCTGCTGACAAATGGTAATTGGGTCACAGACAAGGGGACCTGACTACAAACTGGCACAGGATTGACGGAAGTATCGAGTACTTGTATCTAGATCTAGCCATGGATTTTCGCATCTGACACCGTGAATACTGTCTGCAGAGATGACGCCCATCCTCGCTTTCGTTCTTCTCTTTGGAGGTAAGAAAATTGTAAATAAGAAATATCACCGCCCAGAAAAATAAAAAAAATCCATTATTGGTACGGTTACCCATCTCTAATTAAGGTTAACTTGCTTACTATTTAGAGATTTCCTTGTTTTAAAGGTCTAGAATAGTATGTCTGTGTAATGTTAAGTATAGATCTAACCAGTGTTTCTTCCAGACTTTTTTCTCCGGGGGGGGGGGGGGGGGAATTGAAATTTTCGGGGGGGGGGGGGGGGCGGTAGACTTTCTTCGGGGGGCGGGGGCGGACACTGTTAAAAGTATATATTTTCTATATAAATTAAATAAATTTCATTTCGTTCGGGCGGGGGGGGGGGGGGGGGGGGCTGGAAGAAACTCTGAATCTAACACGAAAATAGTTGAAGACTGAAGATCATATTTATTGTTATGAATGTTTCGACTTGCCCCATCTTAAAAATTATGGGTGGGAGAGAATGGATGAATGCGCCACTTTTTCTATCTAGATTCTAGATCTATGTCTATAGTCTATATGAATACAATGTAAATAGCCTAGATCTAGGGTGCGTCCAAATCAAGTCCACTCTTACAACTTTGAACTATCCTACACTTTTATACTAATAGGTGTTGTATAGTTCGCCTGGCAAAATGTCTTAAGTGTATGTTGATAAACCAGACACGATTTGCTTGTATACAACCCAGGGGCGGAACTACAGTGCCGCCAGACCCCGCAATGGGGGGGGGGGGCAGGCAGTTTAGGGGCCCTCAGCTGACCATAATCAATTTTTTTATAGTTAAAAAATAATTTTCTTGTAAAAAAAAAACAGATCTACTAAAGTAGTGATGTTCTACAGTAGCTAACACACGCTGTTTCGTAAAGGAAAAAAATATATAGGCTACATGAGTTGTAGTGTGAAAAATAGGCAACGTTCAAACCTTTTCCATGACTTATTTCCCTTTTTTTAAATAGTCAAAGATGTGTGTTCTTAAGAAAATAAACATAAGGCGAGAAACCATTACACATACAAAGCTGTCATGCTTGATATTCTTGTGACCGACTTGCAAATTAGCAAACATTATGTCAGACATTGAAACAGAATTTCAAAACAAACTAATAACACTCACACAAATGATGTGTTGTTTTAATTAAAAATAACAACTAAAATTTGTAAATTTTTTCAAATTTCGAAAATTGAGTATTCTATGTTCGTATTTTGTTTATATATATATATATATATATATATATATATATATATATATATATATATATATATATATATATATGGGGCCCAAAAACATTTTTTGCGGGGTGGCCCAATTTTTCTAGTTCCGCCTCTGATACAACCTTTTCTACAGGCAAATACGCTAATGTTGACGGAGTTTTTTTTTTAACACACAACTCGGGTATATCACCGATTCTCGTATTTGATAGGGTTTAACTGATCACACGATAAGCCCCACTATGGATAAAAGATTTGAGCTTAAGGATGAGGGTCAACGTTTGTCTATTGAAAGACTGGTCAGTGCTACTACACATTGGTGCTACTGGCTAATGTGAGACGATAGTCTGTAAACTGACCGGTGACAGTAACATTTACCACCAAAGTTAAATCCACACCCACTTCTGACTAAACATTTTTTTTTTCAAAAACTTTTCAAACAACTATCTATCGTCAACGTAATCTTTTGTGGAATTTAAAAAATAAGTACGAAACTATTATTTTCCCAAGATAAGCCCTGCAACTAATACAAGAAATTACACGCGCAAGAAGTTAAGCCCCGCCACCAATTAAATTAAATGCACGCTCGCAATCTTTACGAAATACAGACATTTTAATGCAAATTATTGATGGCGTTCCAATTTCACACTCTTCAGTAAAAAGTAAAAGTATCAAATCTTCTTTTTTTATGATCTTTTTTTTTGTGGCGGGGGGGGGGGGGGGGGGGGGGGTGTAACTTTCTGGCGGGGATATAATGGAAAAAAATTCTTATTTTCGTCTCACACTGGGTTGTTTATTTCAGCAGTGTATATTTTTTGTCTCTTACAGACACTCTTTAAAAACATTTGGCTCTTTCCTCACAGCGCTTATGGTATATTAAGGAGCTGCTTGTTGAGCAAAACAGATTTTCGATTGAGTTTGTGCTGGGAATACTCATAGAGTCGCCTCCCATTGAACGTATCAACTGATAAGTCAAATGTTAAACCAGGGTCTCCAAACTTTTCAGCCCGAGGGCCGATTTAACTATCAAATATCAGTTCGGGTGCCCGAGTTGTAAACCGCTGATGTCGCATTCGATCTAAATATTTTTGGAAAAAAAATTTTTATAATTTAAAAAATTTTGTTGTTCGAAGCCACGTTAATTTGCCAAGCGATAATCAAATTTTTTGAACGAATCGTTCAGAAGTCTACACATTTATTATTTAATTCAGCTAAAAGTTTTCTATTTAAAATTGAGTCAAATGATAATTCAAAAAGTTTAAATAGTTAGAGATTATTTAAAAAGTCCTATATTGCTTTTAATATATTCAAGTTTAGCAAAGTAATAAACAACGATCTTCATTTTTTTATTTAATGCTATTGAATTTATATTTGTTTTAACGACTTTTAGAAACATAGTTATATGTTGTCTCCCTTATGAGAATTAACTTTGACAAATTGATAAAAAATCAATTTAGAGTAATATTTTGTTTTATCTTACCAAGAAATTTCGGTCCCATTTCTAACGAATATAACTTTTGTATTCACTAAACCTGCAAACGAAATAGTATTTTTTTTTTGAAAATTTTATATCACCATTCATTAAAAACAATATGGCCGTAGATGTTTTCAAATTTTTACGAAAATAATCACAAGATAGCTTATTAAACGCTGATTTGGTTGTTGTCGTTTGGTCGCATGTACATATTTATACCGCGGGTATTGTCACGTTGTCGTTAGTTATACTTAAACCTGTTAAAGTGTTTAAATTAATGCTAACACTTACTTCGCAGTTTTGTATAAGGTTAAGAATTATAGCTATCTGTGGATATCGTTTGGTTTTAAAATGGCAATCTTAACAATCCGAACCAATCGCGTTCATGTTGTTTTCAAAGTTTGTTTAACCATTGTCTAATGTGAGGCTGTAAAGAAACGAATTACGATATGTTTGAAAAGTTTCGGGCTAATTTGCTGCAACGAAAGCAGAAGGTTTTACAGGTGGCGCTGTTCACATCTCCACCATGTCCTAACCTTTCCCTGACTGCCACTCACATTAAATATGTATCACCTGGCTGGCACGCGAATCTATACTTAATTATTACACAGATTCCAATTAGGAGGCGGGGGGGGGGGGGGGGGGAAGGTAGGACACCTTGCCTCCAAAGTGGACATTTTGGTTTGTAAAAATCGCTTAAACCTGAAAGTAAAACTGGACAAAGATCAACAAACATTTCAAATGGTTTACAGTGCAGCAGAGGGCAGGGTGTTAAAGACGGGGTTAGATCTTCAAATCTAGTAGAGCCAATAAAAACCGAGCCAGCCAACGAGGACTTATGGAGAGTAAATATATTGAACAATTCAGTTTTAAAACAGGAGGAAATATGTGTTATCAAATCACATCAACAAGTGTGCGCTTGTCGCTTGACTCATTACATTGACATATTCCTTAGTTGTCTTCGTTGCGGGTTAGATATGGCTTTTAAAAAAATCTTTATAAAACATCAAACTTTGTATTCATCTTTTATCATATCATACACACTGTACAACAGGACATTTTGTTATCACACTACACTATACAGCAGGATAATTTGTGACCACACTACACTGTACAACAGGAGATTCTGTGACCACACTACACTATACAGCAGGATAATTTGTGACCACACTACACTGTACAACAGGAGATTCTGTGACCACACTACACTATACAGCAGGATAATTTGTGACCGCACTGTATAACAGGAAAATCATATCTGTTGTATCTCTGTGTCAGACTCTTGAATAGGGGTGCCAGTGTTATTGGGCGCTACCCTCTTGTCGGTGGGGTGGGGTGGAAGCCAGTGTTATTGGGCGACAACCTCTTGTCTGTGGGCGCCTTTATTATTGGGTCTCACCCTATTTCCTGGTGGGGGGGGGGCACCATCCTCAATGGCCCCATGTCTAAAAATAAAGTTCTCCACCGCAGCCCCAGGGTACCGGCCACGATCGAGCTATCGTTTATTTGCTGTGAGCACTCGGACCAGATTTCACCAAGATGGCTGCCGTCTGAGTACGACGTACGTGTGCAGGTGACACGGATTGTGTCAGGTGGAGCCGTGACGTCGCAGCTGTACGTCATGTATAATTAGTGCCAGGCTTGCCGTGGTTCTGCTACACCTTCGACCAGAAGGGGGGGGGGCGCATTGATTCCTGAATCAGCTGATGAGAAGGAACGATCACCGGCCATGGCGTATCGATTGCCAGCAAATAACGATAAACCCAGCTCGGTTATCGGACTTGTTGACGATTTACTACAAATAGTCTCCCCTTTTGAAACTCCTTTTCCCCTCGACTGAATTGGAACCCAGACTATGGAACTACTTTTTTGTATTAAAGAAGATTCTTTGGGATGTATTCTTGGGCATCTCGGTGACACGTTCATTGATTAATTTCACCGCCCTAGGACGTCATTAAAATGTATTTTAAATTATGAACAGAGAACATACGTCCCTCACGGCTTCGGTCTGAGCTGAAAGCCTTTTCCCTTTGCTATGTTTCTTTTTTCTTTCTTAAAACTGATAGAAATCCTCGTATTTGAATTAAATTGTTGGAATGATAATGTTAGGTCGCTGAAGATTCGCATTTTTTTAAATTTACACCGATTTAGGTATCTGAGATAATTTTTAATTGCATAAAAAAATATTTCTTAAAAAAAAAAACTGTGTTCCATAATTTGTATTACCTCAATGCGTAAAAACTTATTTCAACCACCGAATCGCAAGTTTTTAAAAAAGAAATAGAATGTCCTTACCTACCTTTTGACAAAAAGCCCCTTTGAATGCCTAACTCAGAATAGCTATAACGGTAGCGTGTAGCCCTTGATGTAGCTACATCTGCATGTAAACGAGGTTCAAATACAGATTGTCCCATTTTAAGTTAATATACTTGCCTTGAATCCAGCATTGATATTATCATAGCCTGCAGTATTGACTATATAATTGACTACAAATAAACATTGGCATTGATAGTAACCTTGGCATTTGTACTTTTTAAAGCAGCATTGTCACGCATGGTTGATCGCAGCGATGTCATTAAAACACACATTATCGTGACTGTGGTTTACTTATATTGTTTAACCCCCCCCCCCCCCCCAAACACACACACACACAAACTTCACAGTTCAACCATAAAGTGTGTGGTGACGTAACCTTATGTCACAGCCGGGAGCAGTGGCGTAGCCAGGATCGTCTCAATTTTTACCCGGGGACAAACTTTCGATTTGCACCCCCCCCCCCCCTCAAACTTTCGATTTGCACCCCACCCCCCCTCATACTTTTTATATATATATATACCGAGGGGTCTATGGGGGGGGGGTTATGACCCCCCCCTAACCCCCCCCTGCCTACGCCACTGGCCGGGAATAGTTCAAGGACAGGATTTAGGTTTGATTCTCTTAGATACCCCATTGGTCAGTTGGTAGGAACCAATAGAAAGACGTATAGGAAACACACGTGACCAGCCTCGGACAGTTGAGCCGTAGATAGCGGCCGTAGAGTTAGGGAAGAATCTAAACATTGTTTAAACAGTACATTGTAACAGTTTTTAAAATTTGGCGTCGCCCTCTAAATAGCATCGCCCATTGCGGACCCACCCCCGCTTTGTGACGCTACAGCTGTTTATATTATAAATACCTTTTCAAATACTTTTCAACATTTCTTTTTCAGCCTTCATTCTCAACAGCCCTGAGGTAAACTTGGTGAAAGGAGTGAGCGGAAATGTTCTTCGTGAAGCGCACATCTCTTCCCCTCTCCGGGTGGTGCCAGAGGCTGAAGAAGAACTCACGCGCAAACACAGTTCTCCAGCTCACACCAACGTCTCGACCGCACGTCAACATTTCAATTTAAATGCTGCATCAATCGGGAAAATATCGGAACAAAACACATCATTTCCCGGAGATGTTCCCGTTCAATCTGTCCTCGTACAAACAAACACGTCAGCGGGCATTTCCGTTTCTACGGGTAAAGATGACGTCATCTTACAACGAAGTGCTAGTGACGTCAGTCGCCTTTTTGGATTAATGACACGTCGAAAAAGGGACTTAACTCTATCTGACTTGAGTGATTTGCTGCTCTTGATTGCTCCTGAATATCGCCTTGTCATTGTGAGTATTGTTGCTTTTTTTTTTTCTTCTCCAAATGATCGTCAGAAACTCTTTTTCTGTTCTGTGCCATCAAGAGTTGTCAAACCTGTCAAGACTTCAGTCTTAGAACTCTCCTACATTAGCTATTGGGGGAAGGGGGGAGGGGAGGGGGGGAGAGAAGGGAAGGGAAGGGGCGTCTATTGTTTGGGCTGAATTCAATTTTTTAAAAATTTAATACAAATTTGGCTTTTTATAAATCTTCGTTGTTTGAAAGATATGTTTCATAATCGTCCACAACTGAAGAAATAAATCTGGAATTAACTATTAAAATATCTTACTTTGGGGAAATTAGGTTCTCGTATTAGTGTTAACCCATCACATCCGTTTTAAAAAAAATATTTAAAAAAAAAAATGGATTAAGTTTTTTTAGTTGTTAGAAAGTAATTTTTAAAAAATAAATCGAGCTACGTTTTATATATTTTCATTTGAGCATTCAAAACTGTTGTGGGAAACTGCACTTGAGTTACTTCCCCGTATTGCCAGCTTTACAGTAGAAGGTTTTATATACGACAAAACAGTTCACATCAATGCCAGATAAACGCACTCCGTTTGAGATCGATGCCAGATAAATACACTCCGTTTTAGACCTAAAATAGAAATAAGCAAAAACATTATTTTTAATATAAAATTTTTAAGGAGAGTGATTTTTTTTCCTTACAAAATAGACTTTTTTTCATTGGCATGAAAGCCAGAAAAAGGAAAAGAGAAGAGAAGGATTATCCTGTAAGGATTGGATTAGGGAAATGAGAGCAAATAAACCGTAGACCGACTGACTGTCCAGTCCAACATCAGGATGGATCTCATGTTTTACGGGGGATGGCCTTCAACACATGGGCTGGTGTTTGTTCCCTGGGGTGTCCGGTACTGATGGTAAAGTTTCCTTATAGACCTGACGTTATATAGAGCAGGGGAAGTAGAGTTCATCTGGTACATGTGGCCTAGGTGACTCCGTATTCCTAGTGATCTAGATAGATTGAGAGATAGCGAGGTCAACATATTGACCAGATAGCTATACTTACCCCGACACGGGTTAGTAATGTCATACTGTTAAGGGGGATGGTAAAAAACGTCGTATAGCGGCTACTCCTTATTCAACAGTGTGGTCAGCACTTTACCCAACTAGTTACCAACACAGTGATCAGCACTTTACCCAGTTAGCACTACAAATGTTGATGTGACGTATCACATTGTCGGTCTACTCCAGCAGCTATGCCAGAACAAATGTTGATGTGACGTATCACATTGTCGGTCTACTCCAGCAGCTATGCCAGAACAAATGTTGATGTGACGTATCACATTGTCGGTCTACTCCAGCAGCTATGCCAGAACAAATGTTTGTGTTGATGTGACGTATCACATTATCGGTCTACTCTAGCAGCTATGCCAGAACAAATGTTGATGTGACGTATCACATTGTCGGTCTACTCTAGCAGCTATGCCAGAATAAATGTTTGTGTTGATGTGACGTATCACATTCTCGGTCTACTCCAGCAGCTATGCCAGAACAAATGTTTGTGTTGATGTGACGTATCACATTGTCGGTCTACTCCAGCAGCTATGCCAGAACAAATGTTTGTGTTGATGTGACGTATCACATTGTCGGTCTACTCTAGCAGCTATGCCAGAACAAATGTTTGTGTTGATGTGACGTATCACATTGTCGGTCTACTCCAGCAGCTATGCCAGAACAAATGTTTGTGTTGATGTGACGTATCACATTGTCGGTCTACTCTAGCAGCTATGCCAGAACAAATGTTTGTGTTGATGTGACGTATGACATTGTCGGTCTACTCCAGCAGCTATGCCAGAACAAATGTTTGTGTTGATGTGACGTATTACACAAGACAGGCATTAACCTTTTCTCCCCTCCAGCAAACCTAGAGTTGGCCCAGCGCTAGAAGCTTTTAAACAATCAATTACGACATCGTGCTTGGGCGATTCGCTCCGTTACTGTGGTGATAAATTTGTGAATAAAATGGCGGCCCACGTGCCGGGGCTATGGGATGGCTGACACGCGATGTCGAGCACGTGGCTCGTCGGTACGTCTGCTAGTTATTGTCTCATTTCAAACAGTTGGGTCGTCTGCGGATTCCCGGGTTGATTTTTATTGTTTTTGTTGTTTTTTTTTAAAGTTTTTTTTTTGTTAGTAATTTGCAATATCAAACAAAACACCCGTAACACTCAACGTACCATCGGTAAACAGAGTACATTGAACATTAAATAAAGCGGGAGTGATCTCCCCCTAAACTTTCTCGAATATTTTTATATATTATATAACACTACGGGGGATGGCAACTTGGGATATAGATATGATTTTTAATCAATTTTTAAATAGGTCTACTTAAACGTTTTAAAATGGAATAGAATCTCGTAGAAAAAAAAAGAATTTCGCACCAAGTGAACGGCAAAAAAATCTGTGTATTGTAAAGATAGTATTATTACTTTTAAAATTCTGCGTTTTTTGAGGAATCGGAACTGCGTGAAGTACTAATTCCGGTACACGCAAATTACCCAAAATTTCGTCTATCTTAAACAGTACTCGAGTTATAGGCTTTTGAAAAAAATCATAAGTAGAATAAGTTCCACCTCAAGTTACCGAAAATTGCTCAGAAGTTGATACAGAACTTCAAATTTGATGTATATGAAATGTCATCAACGTAGCTGTACTTGTAACGGTACTCAAGTTATCGTGTTCACAGACACACATACACACATTTACACACACACGAACATAACTGCAAAGCCTAGTTTTTCCGACTCGATATCGCGTAAAACGCTGAAATTTTTATAAATCTGGATTTAGAATTGTTGCCCGATTAAAATTAGTCCCTTATACTCCGTATGTGATGAAGTACTGAGGTGTAAAACGGTGAAAACTCAAAATTTCATGTGATTTTTGTGCATGTTTACATTTCCTATATACTCTGTATACGAGAAAGTGTTAGTAAGTCAAGGGAAACAACCTTTTATTATGATCCCTAAAACATTATAAATAGAACAAAATTCAAGAAAAACAAATGCAAAACTTAGGTAGTTGTATATAATTTTACTAAGCATAAACATTAAAATTTTTACGCATTGTTATGAATACTTATAAGGATTGTAGAGTTACCATTTGATTTTAGTCTAAAATTAAAACTATTGCCTTTATTAAATGTGTAATTTGTACACAAACTGAAACATCGGTTTCACCAACCATTGATCACTACTGGTGTCGGGAGTTCTTTAATTGAAACATTGATCGTACAAACAAAATCACAGAATTAAAGCTTATAAGTGTGTAGTTAGTGTAGTTACATATCACACGGAAAAAGCGCCTTTATCCTTCTCAGAAAACACTTGGAACACCTTCCTCATCTGTTTAAAAAAAATTGTTCTCTTCCTCCGTGCATACCTCTAGCTCGAGCGCACAGCTTCACCCACAATTTAATTTTGTAGCGTTTATCTACACCAGGGGTCTCCAAACTTTTCAGTCCAAGGGCCGCATTAACTATCAAATTTCAGTTCGGGGGCCAGTTTCTTCCTGACATGTCGTGATTTTTCTGGGTAAATTTCCTCAGCCATCACCAACAAACGTTTTTTCCTTGGACAAAAAGATCTCCGCGGGCCGGATGATGAGACTTCGCGGGCCGCATCCGGCCCGCGGGCCGTAGTTTGGAGACCCCTGATCTACACCATCAGCTCTTTCTCTGTGAAGCTAATTCACATGTATAGCACTAACCGGCAGAAAACATAACAAGCAATGTCAGGCAATTATATGTATACAATATACATGTGCACATATACATACACATAGACATACATATACATAAAATCCCATACATACATAAAGACATTATATATAGATATATACATATACATATAGCCTACATATATACATGTTTATAAATAAACATATATATATATATATATATATATATATATATATATATATATATATATATATATATATATATATATACATGTAGTATATATTTATAAATACATATACATATATATATAAATATATAAATATGCATGTACCTGTAAATACCTATATATATATATATATATATATATATATACATACTAGCTGCATACTCAAGTTGGTACATTTAAAAAACATTTACTGTATGTATAGAATAATAGATAGGGATTGTACTAGCGCAGGTACCTTTTTTAAAGTGTGGAAAAGTGTAAAAACGGAGTAAGCTGGTATCAAACTTAATGTTCTGTGAACAAATATACCAAAGGTATAAAAAAAAACAAAAAAAAACGCAGCCTTTTATAGTGAAAGATTAAATAAAACAAACAGTAAATAATATTATTCACTTCCTCGTGTTTTAGCTGTCAAAATAAACACAATCTAAACACCGAAGAAGGAAATGCTAATTAATCTTTTTTTTAAAAAAACGTTTCTATTTTTTTTAATCCAATCCTGATTCATTATGACATTTTTAATATAAAAATTCCAATATTAATTTGCTAAATTTTCACATCCGACTTTTTAAAAAACCTCTTTTTTTTTAGCAATCTCTTGCCTTACGTCAGTACTGAATAGAAGAAACAGGAAATGTCCATGTTGTTCTCCGTGGCTTAATAAAATATGAATGCTGCTTGCAAATTGTTTCGTGGTATTACAACACTCTGTCTTCAAATAATAAAAAGTTAAGCTCCCCTTTAAACGTTTTATTATACGTGGGGACTGTGGACAGCAGAGTCACGCATACATTATATTAAACGGGGACTGTTCAGCAGTATAGAGTCAGGCATACATCGAATACGTGGGGGGGGGGGGGGACTGTGGTCAGCAGTATAGAGTCAGGCATACATCTGTGACCTACTTAGGTCGAGTCATTTTTATTTTGACATTGTATAATTCCTTATATGGAATGATGGTGTAACACCTGGGGTTTTTCCACTGACTTATTAAGGTGTTTGAGACATAGAAATTTTCCATTAAAATCTGATTGAATGATTCT